TCAATTTGTTAATATTGATAGATCGAGAAAAAATAATCGATAATTATGAATGTTCCCTTAAACAGGAAAGTACCTAATTTTGTTAGTGAAACTCGACGAAATAACAATTTCAAAAATGTAAAACACTTAGGCCTTACACCGTACAGTCACAAATCTACTAATCTACATAAAACCTGACAAATCTTCCCCACATGCCTAAATAAGAACTGATTATTCTGTAATTGTTGCAGATCTGTATGGATCTGAATGTCATTTTTGTTTTGGTTTGTAATGTTCATGTTAACAGCTGATCTTAGTCATAGTGATGGGATAACCGAATGGTTTCCATGACCGAATAATCAATCAGTTATTTTTTGCGTCAATCGGTTATTTTTAGTTGAATGAATCACCGAATCAATTTTAGTCATTATTCACTGTCACAAAACACAACTAATTTTTATCTTATGAGAAAGTGAATGGCATTTAGTCTTTTAGCGTCAATCGGTGATTTTTAGTCGAACGAATCTCCGAATAAATTTTAGTTTCCTGATGATGTGACAAACTAAATCAACTAAATAACTAAATCACCGAATCGCTCGGTAAGACTAATTTAACCGAACCAGAATAAAATAACCGAATTAGTCTATTCAGCATCAATAACCGATTGATTCGGTTATTTTCATTCGGTGATTCCCACCACTACTTAGTCAGTAACAAGAAAGCTACACAGCGCTCACATCATGCTACACTCATCCCTCTATCATATTTTGGTTTAAATACGCACCTAGGTGACGTCTTCATTTAAATTATTGAGGGTTTAAACAATTGATAACACTTAACAGGTTTAAAAGTCCAAAGAGTTAAAAGTTCCAAAGACAAGTAAACACTGCATGTATTATATACATACACACTAATTTGTATTTTTGGTTGAAGTACCGTACCAGTGTGTGGAAAAGTAAAATGAGTGTGAGAAAGTAAGTAAATGCAGGAATCAGCTACTTTGCATGTTATAATCAGTGCAAGAACACGCTTTGTCAGCTAGGCTAACTGTAGGAAAATGTAATTTTCCTAATCAAAGTGTTTTGGCTATGTACACTTCCTATGTTTTGGAAGGGAAGGTACAAGTGCAGGAGGAAAAAATTTGGTAGGTTAGGGTTAGGTTAGATAGGTAGCCTTAATGTAGATATAAGATCACTTGAAAACAGTATGAGTTTCTTTCTCCCAAGATGTATTGTAGTCAAAACAACATTTAACGCTGAAAAAGTCAAAATGGCGTAGATTAAAATTTTAAGACAATAAATTGTCCTGCACATTTTTACCCTAATCTAGATGCTTTTGGTACATACTGTTGTCCTTGGTATTTTATTAGACTGCTCAATTTAGTTTGGACGGACATTTATCTATTTATTTATTTACCAACGGCAATACGCCAATTTACAAAGATAAAGTTTGACAGCTACAACAGTGAATGTTTGTGTTTTGTGCTAGGCATTAAAACGAGTAACAATAATAACTTAGATAATAATAAATAAATGACATTACAAAATCTTCAAAAATATTGAGCTAGAAACATTTTTGGACTTGAATATAATTTTAATCTGTATTGATGAAAGAAAAAAAAGAAAAATTGAAACCATACATTTATATGTGTAGGCGGAAATTACAAAAAAAAAAAAAAATCCTCAAGTAAATAATTGTTACTCTTTTGTTTGTTTTGAATATTTCATTTGGTAAAATAAACTAGTGTATTTAAATGAAATGGAATTAAATAAACTTATTCCTTTATTGATCACAATTATTTTACATATTATCAAAAGTCCCAAAGTTTATACGATACTTTACTTATAAAAATTGTACATAAAACCTAACAAGTAAAAACAAAGTGATCAACAAGAAGACCATTTTAGGAACTCAAGTATGCTGTTGCTTTTCCGCTAACTTATTCTGTTTCATAGTGAGTTATTGCAAGTTAATCACTGACTTTGCTTGGAAATAGTTTGCTCTGGCAGATTTTGTTAAGAAACGTCTTTCAAGTGTGTTTTATTCATGTGAGGCGGAAAGTCCCGATTGTTTAGAAAACAATGAGAGGTATTACCAGTCAGTACAAGTGTTCAGTGACGGCTTATCTCAAAATGTCACTACTTCTCCAATCAGATGTCAGACATGTTAATCTCATTGTAGGATTGCGTTGTGTACTTGTGACATTGGTTTGGTTAACTGATTTTGAAGGTTCGGCTTTTTCCAGGTAATATGTTCAAATGGAATATCTCAGATTTTATTAACACATCATTTTGCATATTACAAAAAAAATATATAACACTCTCGAAACACTATTCAGTGCCATAAACAGACATTTTTCCTGAATTTACAAATTAAATGGAATATATCAATCAGATTGTAACACATAATTTTAATATTACAAAACCTATAACACTTTCAAAACACAATTGAATGCCATAAACAGACATTTTTCCTGAATTTACAAAGTCAGTATCATATCCAAAATCTTAACTGACCTGAAATGTACCTATTTATTATGGCAACCATCATTTTGCAAAGTAACAATGGTGGTAGAATTTTAAACTATAAATAAAATCTTAGTAAACTTATACATGGAAAGGTGGCCATAACTAAGTTTAATGGCATCAATAAATTCTTATTGAGTCTTATTGAGTCTTATTGGACTGTGGGAGAAATAGAACTCTAAACTAAATCAAAATGTAGCTTTTATACAAAACAACAAAATCTTTTCTACAAAAGAAGGGATGAAACATCTGAATGCATTATATTGAAGTTAATACAATAGTACTAAACACATGTGCAATTAAATCCCCAAACATTAAAAACCCTCTTGATATTAAATGTGACAATCTATATCTATTAAAGAGGAACTATGTATGTATGTATGTGTGTATGTATATACGTTATGGACTCCGAAACCGCTCAACAGATTGTAATAAACTTTCAGGCAATATTAAGCCGGGTTTTCCTAGGCGCGGAGTCGGCCAGCGGAGAGAGGAACGCGGAGAGCGGACTCAGCTTGTCTTAGGTAATTTAATGTTACTGTTTTCCTAGCAGCGGAGCGGAATGCCATGTTAATTTCAATTCCGCTCTCCGCGTTCCTCCTCCGCTGGCCGACTCCGCGTCTAGGAAAACCCAGCTTTAAGCATCTTTCAAGGATGGTTCGAGTGAAGTTTGGTGCAGATCCGTCAAAAGCTCTGCCCCAGAGGGTTTTAAGTGGGCCAATGCAAGGCCACACCTAAAAAAACAGGCCGTAATGCTCGTCTAGCATGACGTCACGATAGAAGATGGCAATGACGTAATGTTTGCCGTTTGTGATCAGCTGCTTGTTTTAATATTTTCATCGAAAACAAAAATATAACCTTAATTACGTCATTGCCGTCTTCTACCGTGACGTCATGCTTAACGAGCATTACGGCCTGTTTTTTTAGTGTGGCCTTGGCCAATGTCAGACTTTTTTATCTACAATGTTTACAAATAAATATAATTTAAAAGCAGATGTTTACTTTCACCAACTGTTTTGAAGGTTTGAATAATCACAACATTCTGTATTAGCATTAGTCATGATTTGAAATAGTGCCACAGTGTTTCTACAGAGTGCAGCACAGAAAACTATTTTACTTTTGAATTAGTCCAAATGTATTAAACCCCAATCGCAGCACACCTGTGTACTCAACAACGTTTAAATTCTCCAATGTTAAATATTAAAACATAAAAACCTTTATCAAAGTATTATAACCAATAAAATGGATGACTTTTTTAAATTTATGACAACAGCTAATTTGCAACCTAAAGGTGAGTGAGCGTAGCGAACGCACATCAACCTGGAGGCGAGTTAGCGTAGCGAACGAGCTAACCTGAAAACAAGTGAGCGCAGCGAATGAGCTTCAACCTAAAGGTGAGTGAGCATAGCGAACGAACTTCAACCAGGACGTGATTGAGCCATACGAATACTTATAAAGTTAAACGGGGCAAAGCCCGCGAGTACAGCTAGTTTCACATAAACTGTTTAAATTGCTCCAAGACAATTTTTTAATGCAAATCAAATAGAACAAGGAAACAAAATTAAATTACAGAAAGATTAATTGAGTACTTCAATACCGTACTTCAATTCCAAATATTTCAATATTAGGCCTATATTATGTCAAGTTTATCATTCCTAGTTTATATTACTTTATTTTCTAATTATTTGTTATTACAACTTAAATAAAATAAATAAATAATTTATTGTCTTGACAATATAAATTGTATCGACAGTACAATTAGGTTTAGTATTAAATAAAACTCTTGAAATTTCAATGCATTTTTCATTGAAGTCTTAGCATGTCCTTATTTGTATTTACATTTTTTTTGGTGCTGTTGTATGAGGGTTCCCTGCTTCTAGTGTAATTGATTGATCATTGTTATGAATTATGTATACTGTATTGGGTTGACTAAGCCATTGAAGAAAAGAAGTAAGAATTAATGATTAGTTCAGCCATGATTTGGTTGCCATTAGATTAAATTTTGTTGTTGTTTCTATTTCAATAAGTGTTAAAAATGCATCTCATCAACTTCTTCTTGTTTGATTGATAGTATGACGGTTTTTGTTTAGGAATAAGGAGTACAACATTGTCCTATGACTCTTTCTAATCATTTTATCCCAAGTACATGTCTCATTTGAAATTGTTTTATTTTATTTCCATTCCTATGGCAATACCATTACAAAATTGATACAGGTGTAATTATTACAATCTTAAATGCTTATAAATAAATCAGCGATAAAAAAAATGTCATTTTAACAGGAATAAAATTAATGTTAAATAACACATAAATGTATAAATAATAATTTTACGAGTTTAACAAAACAAGACACAAGAAACACTACTCTATATGTTTACATGCACATTGGTTAATAAATATTTTTTATAGAGTATAATAATATTTGTATAGACTAGGGCCTATAATAAATCATCATAGTTGTTCAGCTGATCGTTATTTAATGTTCGTTTTTGTTGCAGGGAGCCAAGAGAACAACGATGAAGTAACTCTGATTTTATCCCGAAACAATCTCTAGTCATCATAATGCTCAGTAAGTAGCCAATATATATTTCACTGGCTTAAAAGTGTATTTTTTTAACAGGTTGTCCTGGCTTATTTCGTAGATCATGTTAATTGTGAAATAGGAGTTATTGACTGAGATAATTTCTGTATAGCTCAAAGATCCGCTTTATCGTTGCATCAAAATTGTCGAACTTGATATGCGTAGTTTGCGAGTCATATAGTCAAATTATAAGGAAACTGGTAAGCTTACAAAATTATAGATAGTATGGTGATGTCTTTAATTGTAATCTTATATGTTTAAAAAAATCGGTTTTTCTTTTCCGAGTTTGTTTGGCTTTTCTATCCGACAAATTTTTATAATTGAGGTCTAAATTGAAGGCATGCATGCACATATTTTACATCAAAATCGGCATATATTTATCTACACTACTACTCGGCTTGTACGTTTAAACAAAATTTGCTCCCCATGTATTTCTTATGGGAGTTTTTTTCTTTTCCGAGTTCGTTTGGCCCTTCTACCTGACCGATTTTCATGATAGAGGTCTCAAATTGAATGTATGCAAGCACAGATTTCACACCAAACACCGGCATATATTTATCTCCTGTATTACTCGACCAAAAAACATAAATTTTATTTTTTTTATTTTCGATTTCTTACTTCAATTTAAGATGTATTTCACCAATTATAATTATATTATCGTATATATTTTGGTCTCAGAACATTCAGTGAAATTACGGCTTTCATTTAAGCTATTATTTATTCAAATTGGACGAGGTTCAAGAAAACACAAGGTAAATAACCAACATAAAAATTATTTTTATAAGATTTTTCTATGATTAAAAATAAATAGCTCCAGTTGTCTTATTTTATTTGTTTTAGACTCACAATAATCAGTAAATTATAGGCTTTAATTTTAGCTATTGATCGTTTGAATCAGTTAAGTTAAAGTTACTGTATTAATAATTCAAAAATCACAATTTTGATTATTTCGCGAATATGATATTTATTTCAACGCTGCGGAGTAGGACGGGTCCTTTAGTGTTTAAGTACACAAGTAGTCTAGTTTTTATAGCGTTCAAATTCCATTTCCATAAAAATATATTTTTTTTTCTTGAATTGTACATCTTAACCTTTTAAATCTCAATATATGATTATAACCCAAGATGTTCTGCAAAATGGAATCTTGGAGAGGGAGGAGGGTTCTTGTCATTTTGAGTTTTACTCCCCCCCCCCCAACCACATGACTTTATTTATGTCAGTAACATAATTCAAAGGTGTTACTTAACAGGCTTTGCGTAGCTTATTTGTTTATATAAGAATAAAATAAATTAATATAAAATTTTAAATAAAAACAAATAAATTACTAAAACTATATCAGTGTTAGTGTTGAAACTCACAAAACAAGAATCTGCTGTATTGGTGTGAAACAGCATATTCCAAATTGACCATTTCCTTTACAGTTTTTTACCCGTGCAAACATTCAACAAAGGTAAAATTAGGCCACAAATTATTTTTACTGACCGTCCTTCGTCCATATTACCACTTTCACTTGAAAACTACTCGTTGTTTAAACTCATGTACTCAATCCATATTGCTTGTCTGGTAGGTAAGAGTAATTTTTATGTGTACACATTCCAGTAAATGATTATTTGATGTTAAATTGTTTATTATTTTGACTAGCATTCTCCGTTAAGTTAGGCCTATATGTAAATGATAGTTATTTGAAACTGATTATCTTTACTTAACATGTTTGTTATAGTTTGCTACACTTCAGGCTTATCCCATATCCCCACAATTACTTAGTAGGTTAATTGCTTTTTACTCTTTCCTTATCTTTTTGCATTCCCACTAACTAGGTATTCTCATTTGTAGTTTGTGGTGAATAGTGAAAGTTCTGCAGTTTTGTAAAGTTTAGTGATAATGTGGTCAACAGGATCAATAATTTAATAGAGTTGCAGATCATACATTTTTTAACTTTAATTCCATCACATCAAACCTTTTATACAGTCACTACCACATAGCTGATTGAAACAAATAAAGAATAATGTTTAGTAAAGACTAAGTAGTAAGTTTGTTAATTTTTATTGTGATAGTAAAGTTGATATTTGTCATACTGCAGCAAAAACGTTTTATTACATGTGTTCCATGCCTAAAGCAGCTTCTTTACTCTCTAGGGCAGCATTTCCCAACCTTTTTTCTATTCAGGGCACACTAACTAGAACACGTTTTTAGTCACGGCAAACTTGTCCACAAAAATAAAACTAAAAATTACACTTAGTAAGTGCATAAACACTTTTTTTTCAATTTCATTTTACTCCGTAAACCATGTTATTTGCTAGTAAATTTAAAGGTGGGTTTACCAAGGAAAAAATAAAGAAAATCACATTTGTTATACAACATGTACAGTATTAGTGTTTTTATGAAATGGAAAGTTTTAAATATGAAATTTACCAATAATTTGTGAGAAATATTTAATAATACCTGGTTTTAAATCTAGTAAACAACTTTTGCTTGGTGTTTGTTCATTAAAATTTTCTAACTTGGATGAATAGTTGACAAACAGACTCTCATATTGTCTTCCAAAGTCTTTAGTTGAGAACGGTTTATTGCGTTCTTTGATGAGAATGCAGCTTCACAAATGTACGAAGTAGAAAAGGACAATATTGCTATTATGGCCTTCATTGAAATTTACGTATACTCCCTTAGTAATGGAATCCAAAAAGATGAAATATCAATACTCACTTTAGTTTTGACCCTCGATACATAAATCTTTAACTAACTGTAGCTTTAAACCCCATCATTTTTAAAGTCGATCAGCCCACTTTCTTCATCAGTGGTAAACACTGCACATAGGGGTTGTGGCATTAACACTGAGATAAAATCCATTGGTGACTTAGCGGGGATCGAACCCGGGACCTCAGAGACTGAAGTCACGCACTCTAACCACTACACCAGCTCGCTCCCCCAAATATATATTACAATTACGTGCTTAGTAAAAGCATGCTGTTTTGTGTTGTTTGGTTGGAATACTGGATTGCAGCAAAAAAATGTGTTGTTAAAAACTTGCTAGATATGTTTCGGTGGTTTTATAACTCGTCAGGCTACAAAAAGGATCCATTTGAGTTGTCGTCAAAATAAGTTACACACATTTTACAGGTAACACAAAAACACCAAAACGCTAAAAGATAGGCCTATTAATTACACGGATGCAGTCTGCTTTTAGTCCTGCCTGCGGCAATGTACACGCAAAATAACAGATCTAAACATTAGTTATTTTTATGATATAAAATTTATATTTTGCCTAAACAGTCAAACTATCTATAAAAATCTTGGTAAAGTTATTTTCTGAAAGGACTTTTCTTCTATTATTGCCTCTTAGTATAAATATCACAAAAATATAATTAATATAAACATCACAATAATTATTACACTCTCTACATGCCATTACAAAACTGGGTTTCCCATTATGAAGAGTCTGCCTCAAATCCTGTTTCTTCTTGCAGTTGCTCCAGGGTGTCATGTGTTTAGATTCTATTGTAGGTACTAGAATTGAACACAAATAGGATTAAAGTAATACAATCATAATCTTCACTGGTTTGCCAAACATTATAACACTTAGGTTTAGTATCTCTTTTTATATCAAAATTATTTGTACCTAAGACATTGTGCCTAATTTCACAATATATATTTATGACTAGTCAATTGAAATTGGTGTTAAACCTTTACACTGTCATTTTCAAATTGAGATGAAAAACTCAGAAAAAGTAAAAATAGTTGGGCAGTCAAAAAACCTGTAGGCCTAGTTGTATTTTGTAAGTGGTATCTCTAATTGATTAAATATTCTGTTTACCATCTACAGCAGTTGCTAATACCACCTAATACCATTGTGCTGTAGAAGTTTACATCGTTATTGCAAATACTTTCCATCACGATTAGTATAAAACAATGTATGTCCGTAGTAATCAATTTGCAAATAAAAAAATTAAAATTTATGACTTAATTTTATTGTGTTCTAATCATATGAGTAAAAACAAAAAGTAAAAGTTGTTGCAAGCACATGACTTGCTATCTGGTGACCAACTGATGATCTAATTTTTTTTATGCTTGTAGAATGAAATTTATCCGTCTTCAGCCATAGCATGGTCTAGGCCTAGGCCTATATCTTTGGTAACAGAGCAGTCTTCTAAAAACTTGCACATCTTTTTTCCAAAGGATTTTAACTATTAAGTGTTGGTGGTGTTTCAGCTAGCAATAGACCAATGGTTGGACGGACGTTTGTCCTCACGCTGGCTGTTGGAATCACCTTCGGCTTCATGTTTGCCTACATCGTCTTGTCAACGACAACTTACCACATAGGAGAAATGGCTATGTTTCCTGTCAGGTAGGGTGAGAGATTTAGTAATGTAGATAAATATGATATGTTGTAGTGATATCAATAATGGTATATTATATTTGTTACTAGAAGATGAAGTGACTATTTTTTTATGATGAGTTATATTTAGCCAACTAACTAACAAAACAAAACTTTGCTGTTAGCTTAGCTCCCAAAATGGATTCTACACAGCTTATTTTCCTCTTAAAAGCAAACAACTAGAACCTAAGTATTCAAATTTGGTCCATGCCGATTGTGTTACTAGACTGTAACAATCTGTTATAATCTGTATAATCTGTAATAATCTTGTTGAATTGAATATAGATAAATCACAGTCTAACTGCCAACGAATCAACTTAATGAACTAAGTACAATCAATAGGCTACATTAAGTGAGAATGAAAGGAATGACTTTGCTCTCACATCACATTTGGGCCTGTTGAAAAAGCCCTTTTGGCTGCAGTATGAGAAAAAAATCCTTAACTACATAAAATTTCCCTAGTTAACCTCTCTTTTCTGTTCTTACAGGGAATTAGATAACGATTTTCGTGCTTCAGACCCCCACCACCATAGCCACTTGGACAACTTGCCTGAACTGAAAGGCGATGTAGGCACACACGGTCATGACGAAGAGTTCCACAAAGGTAGGTTCAAAACTTGTGTTTCGATTGAGAGTAAAATAACATCAGACTGTCACTAATCTAGTGGTGAACAGGATTTTTGTAATTACTATAACAGAGGAACAAATCAGGTGACTTTAGTTATATTGCATTTTGTGCTGGTTTATGTAGCTGAGTGGTTTTGTGGATTGTCGGTTTGATCCTGAACAAATTAACAAATTTGCAGAAGATTTTTAATGGTTTTAAACTGTACCCAACGACTGTTCTTCATCATTGGGCTTTTAAATTGAGGTTTTGAATAAGTAAGATGCATACTCTATAGAAGCTTAGTCTAAGAATACAACTGCAATTGAATCTTCTGGCACGGTTTTCTTGTGATTGAGCAAAAAAGGCTAAGTGTCTTACGAGTACCAGTCATTTTTTTTTTACAGAACCCCAGATCTTTTGCTTCCTAAATACTTGTTTACATTCATTCAGAACTGAATGTTTTAATTGATAAAGCTGTGCTTATAAAAATCAGTGCCAATCTATGTAGATAAGATTAAGTTTAATACTCTTATCTGAAGTGGCTTTGAAGGCTTGTATAGTAGTGATGTATGCAGCCAGTATTGAAATATAGTATTGAATCAATAATGCAAAGAAATCCCCTTACAAAAAACGAAGACAAAACTACACCATCCTGAAACATAACACCTGAAATATGTGTTAAAATTTATAATTTTTGGGCTTTGTCCCGTTTAACTTCATAAGGCCGGCCACACACAGAACCAGGCAAGGCAGGGCGCGACAGGGCATTTTGCCCCGAGGCGTCTTGTGCGACGGGAATTGCACGGGCGCTTATGGAGCTCCACACACAGGACCGGGCGAGGCAGGGCACGTCGAAAAGACGCCCCAGGGCGCCCTCAGGGCAAAATGCGAAGGTCTCCAAAATTATGCCCCGAGGCAAGTCGCTACCGGGCAGAACTTTCTGCGCATGCGCGGTCATGTGATTTATTCCCTTAACAGGCTAATTTTGATAAGGATTATTTTACAACTGATACAATTTACATACAAGACTGAAACAATTTATACGACCAAATATTACACCCTTTGATAAGACTATGCAGTGATGATATTACTACAGTGGTTGAATAACTAATAATTTATCTTGGTATTGATAACTGAGGAAAAAGAGGGCCAACGTTCATATCTGGGTTTCAAAAATCACTCCTCTGGAGGTATGACTTTGAATTTTGTTTTCTATTCTGCTCCCAAGTATAAAGTCAAATTTTAAAGTTGGCTAAATCGGCTCAAGGCTCAGAAATAAAAAAATCTTATATTAATTTTCAGGTTTATGGGGGCTAAACTTTTTACTTGACGTGCCCTGCCTCATTCTGTGTGTGACAGCAACAAGACAGGGCTTAAGTCAGGCGTCTCGTCGTGCCCTGTCGCGCCCCGACCCGCCTGGTTCTGTGTGTGGCCGGCCTAAGTATTCGCATGGCTCAATCACGTCCTGGTTGAAGTTCGTTTGCTACGCTCACTCACCTTTAGGTTGGAGCTCGTTCGCTGCGCTCACTTGTTTTCAGGTTCTGTACCAAACTTCACTCGAACCATCCTTGAAAGATGCTTGATAATGCCTGAAAGTTTCCTTACAATCTGTCGAGCGGTTTCGGAGTCCATAATGTATATACATATATATATACACACATACATAGTTCCTCTTTTATAGATATAGATTTATGATGCATTTGTTTCAGTCATATAATGAGAATAATTTTTACTAAAGGTTGTGTTAACAAGTTTTCTGTTGAAACTTGAGATATTGACATGACTGACATGGTGAGATTTTAGTCTGAGACCTTCATAAAATTTTATTACAGTTGATCTTTGTATAATTCTTCTCAAATTTCATAGACGTTGTCTTTCTCAAATATCTTGAGTTAAAGTATGGGACAAAATATCTGAAAACTATAATCCACTAGAGCAGCTGTCCAATTCATTAAAGCTCAATAATCAAGGACAGCTGTGCCAAGTTTCAATCCTTCTAAAAGCAACTTGACTTTTCTCAGGATCAAACCAGCAACCTTCTTATACCTTAAGAGAGCATTTGAAGCACTGACTTACCCAGCTTGTAAGTCAGCACATCTTGTAATTAAACTGTAAAATTGGTGTAAATCCGTTCCGTTGGCAAAATAAATAAATAAATAAGCTATTTTGACACTCCACTGTGATTGATAACATATCATCTATGAAAAGGTTACTAGAGAATTTGTGTAATTTTTATTTGTATTTTCCTGGTGTAGACGAAGACATAGTAGCCAAAGAGTTAGCTCAACGTGTGAGAGTGTTGTGTTGGATCATGACTTCGCCAAACAACCATCAGAAGAAGGCACGTCATGTCAAGGCTACTTGGGGGAAACGGTGCAACATCTTGCTCTTCATGAGCTCACAAAACGGTAAGATGCTTGAATCTGGGATTGGTGGAGTATTTGATTGGTTGGAGTAAAATTGTTTGGGGGCCGAGTTAGTAATGTGCTAAGGTATAATGAATGTTACTGAATGTCTATTATAATGTCCAAAGTACAGTTAGTGAAAGAAACAAGTTAGCCAATGAGCTTTGGACCTTATGAATCTTGAACATCATAGTTTAATGTGGTGCAAAACAGCAGTCTTCATATCTAAAAATCCTATTTTTTCTAGAATCTATTTTTTACCATCTTGCCATGTTAGTAATTTTTTCTATGTTACATGGTGTAACATTACTGTTACATACTTGTTCTATTTTAAATTGTATTTTGCCTATATTTTTTTACCTGCCATTAGTGGATTTTAATCTCGCCAGCTTGTTTTAACTTATTTAATTAAATGATCATTATTATTTTTTATGTAAAATATTTCATTACATTTTAAATATTATGTATGAATTTATTATGTAGCAAATGGCAAACCCCATTGCACCATAAAATGTTTAAAGGGTAATAAAGATTCATATTCTTATAGAATGAATCTTATTTAAGGTTTTCTAAACCTTTTGAATTCACAGTTGATACCTTTTAACAGAGTTTTGTCTTACATTTCTTTGTCAGCACAGAGGTTAGGTTTGATTGGAAAGGGCTCATTGCCTGAGAATTAAAGAGACAAAGGAAGGATAAGCAGGCTTACCTTAAAAATTGTAGGCAACCCAGTGAAGTGGGATGCCGACAGTTTTTAAGAAAAGCCTGCTCATCCTGCCCTTTGTCTCATTTATTATTTGTCCGCAAAGAGGGAATGTTGTTCTTACAGTTTAACTGTTGTCTATGTAGATACATCGCTGCCCTCCATAGCTTTGCCTGTGAGTGAAGGTAGGGACAATCTGTGGGCCAAGACCAAAGAAGCATTCAAGTATGTCTACACCAACTATCTGGACCAGGTGGACTGGGTGTTGAAAGCAGACGATGACACGTAAGTCGTAATCTTATATACACTCAACTCTCGCATAGCCGTAATTAGATTAACTGTGTTGCGGCTTAACCGGGACATGTTCCAGGAAAAAAAATAAGTAAAATTAAATGACAGTTCCAAGAACGTGTCACACAGTGCTATACGATACCTCGCGAGTGTGGTACAGCTGCTCATACTTTGAGAATCAAGAAGACACTCTTGCCGGCAAAATTGTCGTACGTTTCTTTAGCCAGGAATATTTATCATAAGCACAATGATTAAGAACAGCTGGGTTTTTTAAAACCATCAAAAAGCTCAGCTAATTCTCAGGATCAAATTAGTGACCTTTTGATTATCAGGCAAGCACTATAACCACTCGCTTATCAGTATAGATAAATAAAGATTAGAACCTGCATTAAAGGTTTTGAATTGGTGTGCTATTGACTTCTTACTAGACAAATTATTTTTATTTTTGTTAAAAATGAAATACTGTTTACAGCACAATTTAGACTATGAATTTCACAGGTATGTGATAGTAGAAAATCTGCGCTACCTGCTGTCAGAACACAACTCCTCTGATCCGATATACTTTGGTTGCCGGTTCCGACCCTACACCAAGCAAGGCTACATGAGTGGGGGCGCAGGTGAGTCACTAATAGGGTTTGTTAAGCATGTCACAGTATGCACAGATGTAAATTAACTTCTTCGTTGTAACCTCCCAACACTAAGAAATAGACTAATCGCTTTACCTCCTTGCTTCCATTGAAGAAAATAATAATGTGGTACTTTTAATCTACTGTAGAAACCAGTCAGGCCCACTAAATGGCCTGTGACTGTAAGGGTCATACTAACATAATTTGATGTACCGTTTTGGTTTAGGTTCAATTAACTTGTCTGACAAGATAAAATTTTAATTCTAAAAAATTTAAAGTAAGCCTAAATAATAATGGGTGTCCCAGAAAGGAATGCACTTTTAAAACGATATAACTAGAGTTAAAAATGCAACTCAGGTGTTTTCCTTTAGTTGCGATAGACCACAGAGGCAAATCAAGATCTACCTTTATGAGCTGCATCTCAAAAGTTAAGAGGTCCACTGGGTGTAGCCTGAAGGGGTTTTAAGAATTGTTGACTATGTGTGTAGGCCAGGTTCATATTCTACCCTTGCGCACAATTTCAGCCCAGTCGTTTTAGTAGTTTTTGCGTTCACCAATTTTTAACAAACCAATTTTTACAAACTAGATGGAAAAGACTTTAATGTTGTATAACAGTACGGACTTATTCACAAGATATTTTTTAGGCCTACTTCATAAAGTATAGGCTAATAATGTAATTTACAATTTTTCACAATGTTTAACTGACACAAAAATGTACTGAAAGCAGAACAAAACACACACACAAAATATTAAACATTGATTGTATACTGTGTAGAAACAGGGACATCGGGTTTGTTAGGAATAGGGATGGATTTTAAATGCGGTCTAAACAGTTGTAGAAGACTAAAATTGTTTGCAATACATTTTTTTGTGTGTGTATAAAATATAGCCTATGCAGCATGGTTGAATGTTTTTTTCATAATTTTCTTTTACACAATTAAATGAGTATATTTGTTTATAGGTTATGTTTTAAGTAAAGAAGCTGTAAGGAGGTTTGTGGAGGAGGGTCTTCCAGACAAGAAGAAATGCAGAGAGGACAGTGGAGGTGCGGAAGATGTTGAAATGGGTAAGTTGTAACCAAACCCACATGGAAATCCCTTGTCAGTCTTAACCCTTTGAACCCCACAGTTTTTAATTGATTTAATTTCGCCTACTTGATGGTCCTTCCCTTATCTTATGAAAAAATGTCAAACTACTTAAAAACATGTGTCCGTGGACTCAGACACTTGGGAAATGTAAAAGGTTGCAAGAAAGGTCTGATTTGAGGTACAACCTAGAAAGAATCCAGCCACCTTCCACAGGAGCCTCTACCACCAAACTCTGATAATTCAGATAAACTTCCCATGAGCTGCACACTAGCCCTGACCTAAAAGCGAAGCCTCAATACAGGGTGAGTCAAACTTTCGTGCACAACGGTTTGGCCCAACAAGTGTTAAAAAACTACCTTTTTTATTGAAAATCCACCATTAAAATTAAAATTTTTTTGTGGGTTACAATTTTGAAATGTCACCTAAGGCACACAAATATATGTCCTAAAAGTAATTTTAAAAACTAAAAACATGTAAAAAATCTAAGACATTGTACAGATTTTAGAATTAAGGCACTTTTAGAAGGTGAAGTAGTGCAATTTTTTAAAAACGCCTAAGAGTGTCTTGTAGAATTCCTGACTATGAAAATCTTTCAAATCTTTGCTAGCTCCTACTGTTTTGAGCTACAAGGCTACACGGTCACGGCTGGTATATGTATGTCGTGTTCAATATTGATGGATAATGTGGTGTATAGAAGTTTTTTATGTTTTTTGTCTGCTGCAGGCAAGTGTCTGGAGAGGGTGAACGTCCTTGCGATGGATTCCAGAGACTCGTTTGGTAGAGGAAGGTTCTTCCCGTTTGTCCCTGAACATCATCTTATCCCCGGACATTCGGATCCCAACTTCTGGTATTGGAAGTACGTTTACTACCCTAGTCCAGAGGTGAGTTCCATTAAGTATTACCTAAAACGTTGTTTCACAGTTTATACTAAAAATATGTTGTAGTTGGGCAACATTTTAGTTGGTTTATCATAGGATCAAGTTATTCTTTTTTTGGAATTTTACACAGAAGCAGGTATTAATGATTTAATTTATTTATCGCTGCAGGCAATTTTACTTTGTATAGCAAACTTCTTTGTACATGAACTGTAAAAGGTCTATAGTAGAATCAGAAAGGACTTGAAGGTAAAAATATTTGCCAAGGCTGATTGATACTGTTTAAAAGCATACCAATTTCAATGTGTATAGAATAATGGGTTGTCTTATATACACGGTCAACATAATCATAATCTAATAAAAAATATTTTCTATTTTTATTCATGAATTTTCAACAATTAATTTTCAAAAACCATGACCTCCACTTTTAGGTGTTTCAATATAATGTGCATAAGATACATTTCAAACTAAAATACAATGCCCATAAATAAATGAGTATAGATTTAATGTAAGATATGTTCATTCATAATTTTAAATGTCTAAACATAATGTCGTATGTCCTCCAAGTGTTTTGTGCAAAAATGAACTAATAAATCAATCTTAAACATCATGTTATCTCACAATAATCATGTTTGTTAGATTTTACTCTATCTTTACAGCATTTTCCGTTGAGCAACCAATAATAATTCTCCGTCCTGTTGTAGGGTATAGACTGCTGTTCAGACAGTGCGATATCCTTCCACTATGTCAGCCCCAACCAGATGTATGTTCTGGACTATCTCATCTACCATCTCAGGCCGTACGGTATCAACCATTATGTGAAGCCTGGCGTGACTCGTGTAACGCCGAGCAGTCCAGCTCCTCTGCGTGACAACAGGTGATACGCAATCGCGACTGACTCTCATGTGCCATAGACGCAACTGAGCTGTGAGCCCACGTGTTAATCTACTGTTCAACTAGGACTATAAGACGGCTCTAACTCACAAGTACTGTTTGGGTCTATTGTTAAACAAGTTTGTTCTAGCCTTGTTGGGAATATATAAATATTTATCTATATATATAAAAGGCAAAGCCCTCACTGACTCACTGACTGACTGACTCATTTATTATAAAATACAGATTCTTGACAATGTTAAGACACAGTACTGAGAACTTCCTCTCTCGGCCCGAACTCTTGCCTGAGCTTGTTTGGACCATCACAAGCAAATATTTTTTTAACTGAACATATCCAAAACTGAATAAAGTCATTCAATCTACAAACGGGAAAGTTCTAACTCATAAGTAGTAACTCATACAGTACAGCTAACATTCAAGTACGTAATTTTTTGCTAAACCATTCCTGCATCAGTATTCAGGGCCGGTTCTAGTAATTTTTTAGAGTTAAGCGAACACCCGAATCAGCGCCATTTAGAATTCCCCCCACCACCACACCACCAATGAACTGTAACCCTACAACAATCCTTAACCCTATTTGTGAATTTTTTTCACAAAAATGTTGGGAAGATTTTTTTTTATAAGTTTACGTTAGAAGAATACTTGCAATAAAAGACTTTTTCACCACACTATGATGTTTTAGCTGTTTTACATACGTTAATTGGTGGCTGAAAGTTACGTTTTGCTGGCCATGCCTGCTGTCATTGTCATTTGGGGACCGAGCAGGTTTTTACATCCCTAGGGCCAAAAAATCAGCTGCCCGCTTACTTTCTTAAAACATGAATGCATATTAAATACACAATCAGTATCCATAACATTGCAATAGAATTTTTTTATTGTCACCATTGCCTACCAACTATTAATTACATGTTTGCTGATTCCCCAAATAATCTCTTCACAACCTTAAAGTTGTAGTTGTGTTGACTATCAGTGTGAATTATTATTGTGATGAATAATGGTAATAGGGTATAGTGTGGTGAAAAATAGCGTTCGTACCACGGACCGAAATGGTTTTGCAGTTCTCAATTGTTTCAAGTGCTCGACTTCATCTCGAGCTTAAAAAATATCTCGAGCCGGAAAACCCTGATTTTCGGCCCTAGGTACAAAATATACTATTTTCAACTTCTGTTTATTATTCACTGAAATTTAGAATTTTACACTTTTACTCATCATATACACTTTAGCAAAACCCAAAGTTAACAATTTATTTCTAAATGTGAAATCAGTTTTTACAGGATAACTTGGATGCGATATAAGTTTTTATAGCATATTACAATGAAAAACAGGTGTAGGTAGATGACAAGAGAGGAATTTTTAATTGAATACATTAAACATGTAGAAAACATGAAAAACCAAATTGAAGTATTACCTTGCCAAAATAATACAGAATGTTCAATTTAAACAGTTCAAAAGTTACGGTGTCGTAGGCTAACTGTTGTGTTTGTGTGAACCAACTTAAGACCAAGTGAACAGCAATTTTAAGGATGAGGCCTATCAGCTGCCTGATAGCGGCGCCGCGCTGTCCGCTGCCGAGCGTCAGCTCACTACAATTCGAAACTGCAAAACAATGCCTTGAGTCTTGAGTCCTTGAGTTGAAGTGCTGTACAAGTATACGCATTTTTCAGGTGCTTTTGGTACAAACAGAATAAATGCCTTTGGTGTGGTGCTTTGGGTACTTGAACTCTGAGAAAAAAAACCAAATTAAGTTGTTCACTTGTCAGTTAAGTTGTTTCCAATTTTGTCTTATGAAAAAAAAATTGTGTCCCGTTGGCGCCACTTTTTTGTGGCGCCATATGCGACCGCGTAGTTCGCGTATAGGTTAAACCGGCCCTGTCAGTATTCAATTTGCTAACACGTTTTCTTCAGCCAAAAACTGCGAAGTTGTGAGGTAGTTAAGTAAATTCACATTCTTTGAAAAATATTTTAAATTTAAATATATGCATTATGTCCTTATCAATAAATTTGTATGTTTTATTATTATTCTCAACACGTCATTTCTTAATAAAACTTACATTTTCTGAGCTTTCAATATGTTTAATAGAGATTACCCATCAGATGATTAACAAACGGTGGTTTATTAATAAGTTATATTTTATAAACTGTTTTTGTAAATTTGTAAAATATGATTATTTTGATATTCTTAGGATAGGTGCTAAATGTTGTTATGTTTAGATGTTGTTCGTTCTTATTATATTTCAAATATATTACTGATGGAACTCGTAAACTTGCATTTTTCTGTAGGGTGTTATTAAAGATCCTGTAAAAACATTCAGTTTCTTATGTGAATACTAAAACGGTTCTTGCCATTTGTGGTAATTTGTGTCTGAATGTTTTTACACAGGTAGATTGTGTAGCCGTAGAAATAAATATTTATTCTCTTGTAATTCTATGTCGGTTGTGTTTTGAACTATGCATGCATATGTATAGTGACAACGAAAGAATACAGTAACAGTAAATATTCTCAAGTTCCTTTTTCTTTTATTTGGGATTTTCAGACACAACTGGTGTATATTTTTCATAATATCATTGATAATATCTATTTACATATTAGTGGATCTTATCTTGAAATATACTTTACAAAAGAGAAACTACATTTAACAGTTGCTTTATATAGTTTAAGTTAAATAGGGTGATTAAATTGTTTATATTTATTTAACTAGATATATAAACTATCTATACTGTCTCTTCTCTCAAACTGATCTTTGATTACCAAAGTATTTGGCACTGCCAAGTATTTGTCTTAATAAGACAAGAAAAGTGATTATCAGTAAAAAAAATCTAATGTTTATAACCTCGAGAATACAAATGCTGAATTCCGTAAATATTGCAATTGATTAGTTAATACTGTATTAAATTTAATATTTATTTAAGATGATTTTGACCTAGAAGTATCATAAATGGTATTTTTGAGATTAGCTTAAAAAATAAAAATAAAATCTAGTTACACTGAAAGTAAATTAAGGTGATTCCTAAGCTTCATCCTTAGCTAAGTACCTGTACAAGAAAACAATAATTTGATACTTTTGTACAAATTGTACAGAGCTATAAAATAAATACTGATTGCTTTTGAAGTACAATCGTAACAATACTTTTTAGATTTAATTAATTTTATGAGCATATGAATCAACTGAAACGCACATACTAGCTTTTTGTATTATGATTTGTGATATGATTGTGAACAAATCAATATTATTTATTTTGTTAAGACAAGTCATGTTATTTATGCAATGTTAGTTAGGAAGCAAAATAATAGTCTATATTTTTAATACTTTATTTACACAAATCTTAGCTTATTTTGTTGAGTCTGAACAAACTTTGCTTTAGCTTTCCAGGAACAAATTTGAGATTTGTTAATATTTTTCTACCTTTTTTCCTCAACTACCTAATCATAAGTGATGTTTTTCCTATTTTGACTGTAGTCATACGACACCAAAGATTACACATGTGTAATGTATGTTACCCACCAAAGATGTACTGTATATTACAATGTAATAAAACATGTAAAATTTATATCTGACTGATATTCATCACCTATACTCCTTTTTCTTAGAATATTAATCTGGCAATCATTCATTAATTGGGGACCAGCTGGTATTGTGGTGCAGGACTTTTGTTCTGGGCTCAAACCCCAACAGCCAGTAGCAATGAGATATTGTGGTGACCAAGTGGTTCGGACACCACCTTGAACTTTTGATCCACATTTAGTAAACAAAAATATTCCACATGCAAGGAGAACTATCCCTGTGTTGGAGAAATCCCTCCTGCTGAAACAATCTAAACAGCTAATCTTTAAACATAGGGGTAGCAGGTAGTTTTGGTTTCACATACATGAATAAAGGCACATTCTGATACTAACTACTGTAAATCATGAAACAGTTTTTCAGGAAAAAAGTGTAAATAGTTTATTCTGAACTTAAAAGTACAAACATGAAAATATGAGGTTAAGGGTGTAGCATAGAGCACAAGGGCCTAGATTTTTTTGGATTTTTTGAGAGGATAGCAGGCTTACCTGAATGGGAAAGAGTCCAAACTGGCACAGGAAACACAAAACAAAACTTTACACTATATACACAAAACATTAGAATATTTCACAACTGAAAGCATTTTCTGCTGTCAGTTTTTGCTGTCAGTGCTGACTGAAAGGAGTTTTACTCTCTCTTCCTTAGTTGAAAATGCTGTCAGTGACAGTGAAATATTCTAATGTTTTGTGTATATAGTGTAAAGATTTGTTTTGTGTTTCCTGTGCCAGTTTGGACTCTTTCCCATTCAGGTAAGCCTGCTATCCTCTCAAAAAATCCTAAAAAAATATGAAAATATATGTATTTTGTATTACAAGTATAGTTAGATATTTTTGGCTGGCAGTAACTATAGCAAAAGAATGCAACACATACCTTACTTACGCACACAATTGAGCATTACTTAACACTTTAACAATATTTTACACAAATAAACTACTGGTGCATTCTTAACTTAACTGAATACCATTTGTATAAGCTCCTGTCAATCAGGTGTCCAGATTAGGTCTGTTTCAATTAGTCAGGCTTAATGAGGGTTTTTTTCACTTGTAAGTTCAATAGTTATTGTGCTACTCGTTTGAATCACAATAAACAGTATAAACCTACTTTAAATATCAAAACTCAACCGATATTTCAGATAGGTACTCATAGTCACGTTGGCTTGAGCAAATGCATATTGACTGCCACTGCCAACTCTACGAGTCCCGGTATCAGAGAGCAGAAGAAGAAGATCCACCAGTACGAGTGGCAACTCCAGTCGTCCAATAGAGATTGTGACATGAGCACGCACGCACTCGCGTGGCAACCAACAGCTGTTTGGTATTAAGGCTTGGTATAAAAAACTGTGTGGATGAGTCTAATGTGATACATCAACAAACTAAAGCAATTAATTGGTCAGTACCCAAATGATCAATATCACAACAAACTTAGAAAAGTAATACACGCCCAATAGAAAATCTCCATTCACCCCCCCCCCCCCCCCCCCCTATAATAATTTCAACTTAGTGATGTTGATTTGTGTTTGATCGAGTGACGGATAGGGAACTGATGAAAATACACCAAGTAAAGACAAGGTGTAAAATAACGAGGATAGGTGCTTACCTAAAAATGTTAATAGTTTCTCCCAAAATGTTCCCAAAAGACATCATGGCGTATATGTAAACTAAAAATTCAATTAGTGAATCTCAATAGACTATCGTTGCATTTCTTTTCCATTTGCAAACCTTTTAGCCTTTTACCATATCCAACAGAATTTAACCCTTTTTCACCATCCAACCTCACACTACACTCACAAATACTGTACATATACTTCCTTAAAGATTCATAATCTGTTGTATATAGTGCATTTTTATGTTAACTATTTTTTCTTATCCCTTCAGTCACTTTTCAACAATTTCAATAAAATAAAATTATTTTTGTTTAACAATTAATTCCTTTTGCTTTGTACAGTAGCCCATAATAATCAAAGAGTTAAGTGTAGCCTACACTGTAAAATTTACCCTAAAAAGAAACATCAAAACTATGTTGAAATAGTACAGTCAAATGTAACCAGACATAAAACATTCTCATCGAAGAGGCCCCAGATTTACAATAGGATGGGAAGTTGACTTGGACTATTTCAAAGTCAATGGTAGTAAGCAAAGGATACACAGTGTTGCAACTGAAGGTAGAAACATGGACGTTCCGCTGAGAAAACCGAGGAACTCTATTGCGATGAGGCCGAGACCCAAATAAAGTCCAAGACGGAAACTGTAAACAATAATAATCAATAGTAAACAATAATAATTTGTTAGTTTTGAAAGTCCTAAATTATTTTCAATTTTTAGATTTATAATAGTTGAGACCGAAGGAGCTAAAAGTAGCTGATTTGCCTAGATGGGTTTTAGTGCTCGCCTAGTAACCTAAAGGTCGCTGGTTCAATCCTGAGAAAAGTTAGCAGTTTTTTGATGGTTTCAAACTGGACCCAGCAGCTCTTCATCATTAAGGCTTTTAATAAATGGTCCTTATTAATGAAACAGCTGATATTAGTCAGTAAAAAGCTACACAAAAGACATCTAACTTGTGAAACTTCATTCTACACTCATCCTTCACTCAATGAATGGCATATCATTGACTTTTGGATGTCTAGTTGTATTAATAGTCAAAGCGCATATTTAGGTCAAAATACGTACCTAGGTGGAATTTCCATATCGATTGGTATTGTAATTTCAACTTATGGTAGATGAGTGTCTAGTTTTGTCTATGTAAAACAATTATTATATTTCCTTATCTCATAAAGTAAACTAAGAGATCAGACAATATTTAGTTATAAATTTCAACTACAAAGCTTACACTTGACTTAGATTAATTGTTTTTAAACCACACACCGGACACACCAACTGTTACTTACTGAAATGATTCGGTGTCATAATCACTCTCCTCATACTCCTCTGGCAGACATGTTTTAATATTTCCATTCTGAAAAGATAAATTTTACGCAAAATGTGATTTTTACTACACTGAAGCCAGCAACCCCTAATAAAGCATGACATTTTCATTTTATCCATTCATCTACTTTTACTGAAAAATAAACTGCGACAGAGTTTTCTTTATTATAGAGTTTTTGTTCAGTTGTGTCTATAAGACAACAACCATAACGTGCTTGAATAAGGAATGATTAAGCTTTCTTAAGAACAATGATTGAGTAGAGATAAATATAACTGATTAAAACACTTATTCAAACACTCATACTGCTTGGCGTTCATTCAAATACTTTTGAATTCACAATGATTAGAAACCCACCACTGAAGAAAAACCCATTACAGTTTACTACTAGCTGTTTATATACTGTACGTAAAAAATGTCTAAGGAAAGTTAAGGCGCATAAATTCAAAACACAATATTCGTACAGTTTTCAAAATTAAGGAAACAATTCGTAGCCGCCTCACCGAACTAAAACCTGAAAACTAGAACAGCTAAGAGATAAGGCCAAGGATGTTAAAGGCTTATCTACAATAAATAACCAGTGCGTCCAACAACCCCCCTGCCCCCTCCTTATGCAACATGAACAGCTGATTTAGCAGTCGTGGTTAGGCGTCGGCTCGGGTACACGAGAGAAATCAAGTTTAATTTCCCTGAGAAAACAGTCCCGTGTTATTTTTGGTTCTGCGAAACGTCAGAGTAAATCCAAGGACGATTTTTTTTTTGTGCGTGTAGGTGTGTCTTCGTTGTGTAATTATTTTGACGAGTCCTGGATTATCAAATTAAGGTGACTGTTGAGCAATAATTGTTTTAATTAGAAAATTGCAAAAAGGATTTATAAATAAAAATTGCATGATTTACTGTAGAACCCCGGTTAACTGAAATAAAGGGGGGAGAGCCGTTTCGGATAACCAATTTTTCGGTTAACCCATCATATGCTAAAATAGCCTATGTATTACCACAGTGTGTAGGAAAAATGAAGTTCGCCACGAAATGTCTACATAATACAGTGTTTTATTTCAGATACAAAAATATGTTACAATGGGTTATGGACCTTTTCGAGAGAGGAAAAGGCCTCTCTGTTTACATATTACTTATTGTACTTATATTTTAGCCCTGTATTAATTTATGGAACCGTTTCGGTTAACCCAATTTCGGTTAACCGGGATTCTAATGTATATGAGGAATAATTTTTAAAAAAATTGAGTTTTATTACGTAACTACTTACCATGTAAGACAGTGTAACTAAGCAGATAGTCATGTGCGCCAGAAGTATCAAAAACCTAGCTGGTATTAAACTTTCACCACAGTGACTTATCATCTCCGTACCTGAAATATGATTCTAGCTAAGTATATTATAAATGTTGAGACTTTTTAATTATGTACCTTGTGGTAAACAAAAACAAATGGAACAAAATCCCAAACAACACTAAAACATGCTGTTTCTATAGGATTAAAACTAAAAAATAAACAAGATTAAAAACTGATACAAATTCCGCCACCAGAGAACTTATAGGCTCTAATTTTCTGTTAGATCTCAAGGCGAAACATTACAACTTCATCTATATATTTAAAAGGCAAAGGCCTCACTGACTGACTGACTCACTCACTCATCACTAATTCTCCCACTTCCCATTTACCTAGGAGGCTGAAATTCGGTACACCGATTCTTTGGGCATTAAATAGGAAAACTAAGTAGTTTTTATTCTGATCGGGCTTCCGGGCTCCGCCCAAGTGGCACTGGAGTTTCCCATGTTAACCTTATGATTTTTCATATTTAAAAGGAATTAATGAATCTTAACAGCTGTTTCAATTAAACAAGTTGGTTCTGTTCTGTGATGTTCAATAGCATTAAAGTTGCAAGGATTACCAACAGGGTGCAGCACTATTATTTTTTTTTAATTTATGACAACAGCTAATTTGCAACCAAAAGGTGAGTGAGCGTAGCGAACGAACTTCAACCTGGAGGCGAGTTAGCGTAGCGAAAGAGCTAACCTGAAGGCAAGTGAGCGCAGCGAACCAGCTCCAACCTAAAGGTGAGTGAGCGTAGCGAACGAAGTTCAACCAGGACTTAATTGAGCCATGCGAATACTTATGAAGTTAAACGGGGCAAAGCCCGCGGGTACAGCTAGTAAAAGATATAACTTATGTGTAGATAACAAAGCTAAAGGTGTCATCTCATTTATTAATTAATTATGAATTTTTCACTTATCTTAATTCACTTTTAAAATATGTATCGCCAGTGCTTGATCTGCGCGGGGAATGCAGCGGAATGAAGTTCCAGGGCCTCTCCTTTGTAATGATGAAAATATTGGCATAAATAGTTACTAATCATAGTATGGGTTAAGTTACAGTTCAGGCACCTCATTTTTTACAAATCTAGCACTGTGTCACAGTATGTTGGCTATCGTACAAATTCAAACTAATCTAATCATTATTTACGAACAAAACGAAAACTATAAACTAATTTAGATAATCATGGCATACGTTACCGGATACACTTTAATTATAGAGTAGGCTACCCTAGGCCCATAGGCCTACCTACTTTAATGTTTTCGAAAAGTATAAGAAATTACCTAACCCAACCACACAATTTAATAGCAATAAGTTAGGTAACACATTTAGATGACAGTTTATATGATTGTTTATTAGGCCTACCGTATAGGATCAAATTAATACTATAATTAACCCTTGTTTTATCTGCAGTGTACCTGGCACAAACACTTTTAGATAATATGAGATGAAAATGCTGTATTAGATTTTTCCTCTGCTTATATTACAATACCATAATATATCAAAAATAGGCTATTAGCCTTACACTCTTCAAGTCCCCTTTTTAATCTTCTTAATCACTTTAAAAAATGAATAAAATATATTTATTCATTTATGACGTTTGTTTGGGTTGGATTGGATTGTTTGTTCTTGTTGTCAGATCGTTGCTTAGTAACAGCCGGTTGAGTGAAGTTGGTCTAAAAAGAAGACCACAACCAACAACGGAATTAGTCACGGCCACCTTTTTAGCCCGTTGATTTTCATAATATCTAACATATCTATAACATACCTTATAACATACATACATTGCTGACCAGTAATGACTGACTCAATGGATTTAGTCAAAAAGTTGTTCTCGTCTTCTTGTATTGTGATTATGAAGTTGGTTTCTGCAGCTGAGGTTGTCTATGTTGCCCTTAACATGTACCAGCCAGTTGTAAATGAATAGTCTGTAAACAGTCATCACTCCCCAAGTCACGGAACAGTGGCCGCCTTTAACTCCAGGCCGCGGCCTTCGAACTGGCAACGTCACAAGTAGTGTTGTAACAGCTGTTTTTGTTTGGAAGCAACTAATGGTATTTGTGTATTTGCGAAAGATTGGTTACTGGACTATGACAATATTGACTCCGCTTAAAAATGTACAGATATAGATTTTAATTCATATTGTTTCAATTTTCAATTCTGTATGCTTTATTTTCAATATGTATTTTAATAAATTTATATTCATAAATCAAAAATTAAATAAATAAAGTGCGAATTAATGAGCTTATGTCACCTGTCTGCCATGTTATCTTATGGGACGTCTGTCACTGAACAACACCACTTACGATGTTGCCAATTCTACCAGGCCGCGGCCTGTAGTTAAAGGCGGCCGTGGGTCTACGCAATGTTCGTGCCTCGCGCTAGACGTTATATGGCCCTTATAGAAGGGTTTTGAGCTTTCAGAATGCTTTTGTCTCTGAAGCGTGAAGCCTCAGACAATGACACCGTATATCATTAGGCTGTGGAAGATACCATAATAGGCTAATTTTAAGGATTTCGATTGCTCAAATTTTCAGTTGGTTTAAGTGGCTACTACTCGTGATGAGGGTAGTGCCATAGTTAGTTAGTTCATAGTTCATAGTTCAATTTATCTTCTCCACGGTCATCAAGATCTGGGAATCGTCAGAATTTTCTTTTCTGATCTTCTTGTCATCGGCAAAGAATAAAATGATGGCGCTCGGATCTCGCAGACTCGCGCCGCAAATCGTACACCGACTAAAATGTAAATAAGTGTAAATATAGGATAGTGTTTTATAGTAATTGTGATAGTGATATGAAATGAAATGAAATCAAATGCTTTATTGTCATTAAAACTAAAATACAAAGTTCATGACAATAATCGTCAAAAGAAAAAGAAAAACAAAACAATCAAGATGGCAACTAAAATAACTAAAACTCTAAACCAAAGTACTCTTCATGTTTATACAGGCAAGCCTGGGTTAGAGTAGTTTTTAAAACATGTTTAAATTTTGAAACACACAGGTTTTTGATGGATGCAGGCAAGAAATTGTACATTTTTACACCTTGGTACTCAAAACTATTTTGAGTGGCTGTGACTTATGCCTTACAGATTATCTTTAGATCTAGTATCTTACAATAGTTGTGAACATCAGATATCTTTTCAAAGTGAGAAATGTTTTCTTTTACATACAACAAACTTGCCAAAACATAAACATACATGGATGGAAATGTGAGAATGTTAAGACCAGAATGTTAAGTGTGAAAGCCAAAGGACTCAGTTCATATTTAAGCTTCAAAAAAGGCTCTTCGAACTGTTTTGTTCCCTTCACCGTTGCCAATCCTGTAAATAAGTCTTCAGATCACATTTAAGTTTTAACTTTCCCTTCCATTTACATTTTATAAACATGATCATTTATGAAGAAACCCCAATCATCTTATAGCTCTCCAAGTATCCATAGAGAGTTCATACGAACTATATTTCATATAAGATTTCATAGTAGGTTATTGAACTATTGGTGTGATAGGATTATGTATCCTATCCGCAACAATTTCAATCTTTCATACCACGACACTCAACCACTTTCTTTCAGAAAAATTTCCCCTTCAAATGCAGTAAAACTTATTAATGATCTCCTTCTCCCTTTGAAAGCCGAACAGAACAAAGGAAAATTTAGGGAATGTGTTAAGTCCATCGCTGATGAATAAGGTCTGCTACAGCGTCCGCAAATTTGCTGGTAGTCTTTATTAAACAACACGGGCTTGTGCATTGAGGAAGGAAAAAACACCACCATTTTTCCTTTTTTTACACACCATGGCTTGTGTGTCACAACCGAACAATTTGTATATATTTATATATTTAGTACTTAATTAATTTCATAATAAATTAAATTTTATTCGTTTAAAGACTTGGCTAGAAAAAAGTAGTTGTTTATATCTGGCTTAATAAAGGACTTTGACTTTAGTTCGACCCGAAGACGGATAGATCCTATACGCATCTGAAACGTCGGCCTCTAGTTTTACTCTTTCAACGACGTGGTCATCACCCGAAGACCTAGATTTGGCCAGTGACCTAGCCAGGATTTTAAAATGGAGAAGGGGTTGGTTGTCGGGAAGTCTGGGGGGTATGGATTACCAGGGGGCTTGGCTGGCTGGCAGAAGGGGGTGCGGGAAAATTTTTGAAAAATATTAGGCCCTAAAAATGGCTGCTTTTAGCTCTCCTGGCATTGAAAATTAACCAGGTGGCTTACAATTTTGTACCTTAATAATAAGAAATAAAAAAAAGGAAAATTATAATTATTAAATGTCTTTCATGGCTATAAGGCATTGATTAACATACACATTGAGATTGACTGATTGACTACAGTCATGATTCACACTCCGGAAAATACAGTTTTGTGTTGATCTTAGATGAACGCGAATGCTATTTTATTGAACTACAAAAGGCATCATACTCCACTCGACATTAATCCTTCACTCCTAGACTTTTTGGGTTAAAATATGCCATAGGGGGTGTCCCCATTCCAAATTATAATGAATAATATTGAAAAACATATTTTTACTTCATACAGTATGTCTTTAAATTAAGCTAATTATAGCAAATATGTGACGAGATATAAAGGCAGTTGTACTGTTATGACTCGTCAGGTCACATGACTTTGAATCATCCAATCGCGTCATTACTGCGACCCCTATACGTGGCACGAACCACGAATCTTTTCTGTCTTGTGTCCGCCATCTTTGTTCGGTGTTGTACATCAGTGGCGTAACAAATAAAGTGACTAGGATAATCTTTCTAGTGTCTGGGTAAGGTAGGTTTCCTTTCATCATACTAGTTTTATGTGGGTCATAAACTGGCTCTTATAAGATAAATTTAACTCTGATCGTGTGGTTTTTAAAGCTAAATGAACGTTTGGGAGGAGTCGGAGATCAATCCTTATTCTACAACGGCTCTCCGGCTTACTGCTCCAAATCTATGGCGTAGACTAAAATGCTAAGAAAGGATTAATTTAGTTTTTAATAGCTTGTGTAGAAACAATGTCCATACTAGCAGATAGGATAAGACGGACGTTACTAAGATCCATTGCAACAACTACAAATCTCACAAAACTGAAAACTGTATTACTTTAGCAGCTGGTTGGCTATTGGGAGGTAGACCTAAGCTAGGCTTGATGTCAAATAAGCTAAGTAAGCTTAAGTGCTGTATTATGCTTACTCTATACAGTCACTTGTTATTAATTCAAATTATCAATGCATTTTAAGAATAGGCAAGCTATAATTCAATAAGTTAGGCCTATCAGTTAATTTTTTAAGTATAGGCTACCTAGGCCTAGGCTCTGGTTAGGGCCTAAAAGGTGTTGTAGGCCTAACCAGTTAGCGTAGTTTTACATACTCTGTGGCCGTGTAAGGATTAAGTTTAAGATTAAGTTAGGAATCACATTGGCTCGGTGACAACGTAACTTATTTACAAAAAGGTTTAATTTACTTGTTGCATCAATTGATCCTTAAGCTATAAAATAGGCTAACTACGGCCGTTTCGTGCTGCTAAGCGAACACATCTTTAATTTGTTGTTAAACTATGGTCTTCTCATCCGTGGATGGAGTCGTCAGCACATTTTTGCACACATCGCGAAACACATACAAAACATGACTGACCCGTGTTGGGAGTTGTGACCCCCTCCCCTTCTCTCCCCTTATCTTTGCTCTGGTTTCTTTTGTTTTGGTTGATAATGTGGATGGCAGTTAGTAGCCTAGGCCTATTGTAAATTATGTTTGATTTGATGGACAGCTGTTCATTTAATATATGGTCGGGATGTTGTTTTGATGCTTTGCAGATCACAAATTCTTCTATAGTACAGTACCTTAAGTTATCCATTTGTTTGCCTATATGGTATTTATTCCGTATAGGTGCCTCCAAACGAATTTTTAATTTTGATATCTTACTTTATAGTTTTTTACCTCCTGAATCCAAATATACCATTATTTTTCACCGCTGATGAATATTTCTCAAGATATCACCGTAAAAACATACCTACCTTCAAAGGACTTAAAATGCAGTCGCCAATTCACATAAAGCACGACCTACCACCCTGACATGCCTTTTCTGACATCAAAAGGAGTTTGCTTACATTCTAGAGGTTTGGTTAGGTTAGGTTATGTTAGAATAGCGCCATTTTATTATGTAATTTCTACAGGGGTGCCCAACCCCCCTTAGACTCATGACGCACCCCCCCCCCCCAAATTGAGCAACAGCCCCCCCCCCACCATAAATGATGTACACAACATTATTCCCCCGCCCAGTACTATTTGTAAAACTATAAAAGAAGTTTTATAATTTTTTTAGATATTTAAAATTCAAACCCAGTTGATATGAATAAAGTTATAGGTTTGTCTGTACATTGCTCAGAATTATACATATTTTGGGTTATTTATGTTTTATACATTGAAGAAGTTGAAACATGTCTTATCTCTATTTATGTCCGTCTGTCACGGCCCAGAAGGCATTTTTATGCAGCCTACTCTAAAGAAAACTAGAGTACCGATTATGATTCTAATGGTTTAATTGTATCCAAAGGATTGCCGAGAGAGTCCTTATAGCCATTAAAATATGGCCTCACTATTTTGGAAATAAAACAACGAACGATCAAAAACACAATTTTGTGTGTTTTTTCTAGTTTATTTTCTCCATGTTTACTACATACGTCATTAATTTATGAAATGCTAATAATCTGTTAAGAGAACACGTCATATATGAAGTTACGAACAGCTGTTATGATAAAGATTCCTTTTCCTAGCTGTCACTTATATGTTTACATAAATGTTGTTTACGAATACTGTGTAGGCCCCAACCATTTCCGATCACGTTTGTAACCATTTACGATCACGTTAGTAAGCAAATCCAAAACCAAGTGAGATTAATAACCGTGTGTGGCTTTATTTATTTATTATTTATTTATTCCAACGGCATATATCACCAATTTACAATGAGGGTACAAGAAGCCTATGTGGTACAACATGCATTTAACAGAAAACATAACAACAAACTTAAATCTATGGCAGGATCAGAGCAACATTGGTAACAAGAAATATAATCATGGCTAGGAAAGCAATAATTAACAATGAAGTACAAAATGATTGTGAAAAAGCAATAACAAAGGTAAGAATTTGGACTGGCAATGGCAATACAGTTAACAATCGATCAGCAAAAGCAAGGTAAATCTTTGGCTAGGAAAGCTTTAATATAACAATGAAGTCGAAATAGAATATGAAAAAGCAATAACAATAGTAAATATTTGATCCAACAAAACAGTATTAAACAAACGATAACATAACTCAAACATGATTAAATTTACAGAAAACGAAAAAGATAGCAAATTACGAATAACATAACAACGGGAGACACTAAGTTTCATTGGCAGGGGACCAGGATGCGGCCGCAGAACGCCTGACGGCTGCTAGGCTGTCATGAAAGAGGTCCACTGAAGCCGAGACGTAGTTGCCGGAACGCATGAGCCTTGGGATAGGGCTGTTCTGGAGGTAGGCCTAACTTCTACCTGCATGCTCCAGCTCAAATAAACGCTGCTCCCTAGTCCTGATGGTGGGCACTCTGAAATTCATCTTCTCCAGGAGGTAAGGACAAACTACCTTGCTGTTGAGGGACACATCTGCTACTCGTCTTCTACATGATAATGGCTGCAGCCCGTAGGATTCTGAGATGACGTCAATGGGGACTTCTAAGTAGTTGAACCCCTCTCGGCGTCCCAGGAACCTGATGAATCGTCTTTGGACTGACTCTAGCTGATCTGTGAGGCCGAGTTGGTATGGGGACCATACAACCGAAGCATACACAAGTAGCTGACGGACAAGGGACTTGTATAAGGGACTTTGTTGGCTTTGGCTTACATAACGGGTTTGATTTATCACGGGTACCTACTAATATGTAACTGTAAATTAAATTAAATAACTAGCCATCATCCAGATCGGGAACCGTAGATTCTGTGTGTATCAAGTTGTACTTGAATTTTGATTACAGGGAAAAGACCGTGAATCAGTGTTGTACAGGACTGGAAAACTTATCTTTCTATATAAATAAAATTAGAGTTGTATAAGTCACCTCAATTTAAGGAATTTTTTATTGCCATAATATCCATATAGCGTTCGTAACCTCTGCTTAACGAATTGTCAGCGTCTTTTCTCGATATAACGATCCCCTCTCCCTCCCTTTAGAAACATCACAGCTCACAGCTCCTTTGATGAAAATGAAATGGAAACAACGCTTGCGCCAACAATCGTCTGCTCCGTTTTACACTTCTGTCTGCTGTGCGCTATGTTACAACAGATTTCAGATACAACAGCTGGGGAATGATGACGATATAATGCTTAGTAAACTGTGATTGAGTGATTAGTATCCATGGTAACTTAAATAAGGCTGTGATTGGCCAATGAGTAGGCCTAAATATGGCAACTTGTTGAATTTGTGTATGAATTGAAGAGAAACCTATTAAAGAACAAAGAAAAAGAATAACAAGATTGTTCTCGTTACATTCTTTTTTAAGAGTGTTTTAATTATCTCTAAATGTAATTTTACACTTTTTTATTACTTATCTATCAATTCCTATGCTGTGATACAGCACCTATCGGTAGCCTATCTGTCTATCATGAGCAGTACCTTATAACACTTTCTAAAGGTTCCTTTAATATTTACGTTATTTATAGCAATGCAATGTTTGGCTGGTGATTAGTAGAGTTTGAGTTAGCTATAATTTTAAACGTTGCTGTTTGTACCGTTTGTACAACTGAACCAAGATAAATGATTTGAAATTTACAATAATAATGTTATTGCACAATAATAATGATTGTGCAATATTGAATTTTGTTTATAAAAATGATAATCGTGACGTTAATGGCTGTTTACAGCGTTTTAATGAGTTTGTCATATGTTTTTATAATATATTGGATTAACCGTATTTTTTCATTACCCCCCCCCCTCTCACTATTAACTCAGGTAATCTAGTATCTACACAATAGTGTAAAGTATTGTAGCCTATGCTACTTGATTGTATTTTAACGAGCTTTATGCCAACAAAGTGTTCTGTGCTAAGTCGCGGTGTAGCTGGACGTGTCTGTACCACGCGTTATCTTTTATCTATCACAGCAGTTGAGCCATGCGTCCCCTCCCTCTTAGATCTCACGTCTTGCTAATCTTAAATAATAACTTCCTACACGAATCCTAAACTATCCTAAAATCCTATTTTAACTAATTGAATTCAATAATATAACTATTGTTATTAATTAATCCCCTTTCTATCTGGCGACTTCGTATTATATTTTGGATTGTCGTCACGTTGAACACTGTTGCAATCAGCTTTAGCCAACCCCCCCCCATTTGAATTTTTTGAGCCCCCCCCAAGAATTTCAATGACGCAGTCTGCGTCACAGCCCCCCCTTGTGGGCACCCCTGATTTCTAAACGGCGAAATATAAATCAATAATGTATTAATAAGGATAAAATACTGGTAACAATAATACATTAATAACTTATTGGTCTTAGAAAGTGAAAAGTGTGGCTGCACTTTACTTGACGTCCTACACTCATTCGATTGTTTTTACGATTCAATGTATTTTCATTTGATTGTTTCATTCGATATATCGTTTGGTTAGTTAGGTTAGGTTAACCTTACCTAACTGACCAAACGATATATCGAATGAAGCAATCGATTAATCGATATATTGATCGATATTTTCATTCGAATGAGTGTAGGACGTCAAGTAAAGTGCAGCCAAAAGTGTAACTAAATCAGGTGATTTTTCATATTGCAGAATCAGAGTTAGCTAATTAAAGTTGTCACTTCCATTGGCTTGACTATGATTGAAAACAATCAGCTGTTGGTTTACTTAACCCATAGTTCATTCCACTTGTAAATGTCATCCATCCTACCTTGTTTATTGTAATGTTGTATATTATTACAGCGATATCTTGAGAAATATTCATCAGCTGTGAAAAATAATGGTATATTTGGATTCAGTAGGTAAAAAAACTATAAAGTAAGATATCAAAATTAAAAATTTGTTTGGAGGTACCTATACGGAATAATTACTGCCTATATTGTATAGAGGCATGATTTCTAAATTATTGTGTTTGTCGGTGTAGTTAAGTATTGTTTGAATTAATGTTTGCCTTGCTAATCACCAAGGAGTTTCTCCTTGGTTTATGATGTTCTTTGAACAGTTTGTCTGATAAAAACTCGGACAATCGTCACATTTAATTTTATTATAAACACCCATGCTGTTTTTGTCTACTTTATCAAGTGTCTTCTTTTTTCTTTCCCCGAGGAGAAAAGAGAGTTTGTTAGGTGTTTTATATGAGACTTATACTTTATGTTTCGCCATTTCTTTCCTCAGTGTGTTGTGAAGTAACTTACAACTCCGTATTCTGCAGAGACTTATTTCTGGTCGGTTCGTGTAATTGTGACGCCCAAAAAAATTAAGGACGTTTTTATCTCAGTTTCGAGGGTGAATTTTAATTTTCGGTGGACACTGTTCAGATAAGATTTTAGTAACGTGATTTGTCTTTCATTTCTGTTGAATATAATGAATGTGTCATCCACATATCGACTGTAGGTAATGTATTATTTTGTTTTTGTGGCGGTTGGAGTCTGACCACAAGAATTTATTTTCAATGTGGTTTAAGAACAGTTCTTAGAGAATGCTGGATAGGGGTGAACCCATGGTTAAACCTTCATGCTGTAGATTGTTTGTTTTCAAACGTAACATAGTTTTGTTGAAGGACGCATCTGGTTAGGTTGACTAAATGTAATTCTTGTTTGGCTTCATTTGATAAAGACAAATTTTTCTCCAAATTAGATTTCAATAGGGTCAATGGTCTCACTAATGGGCACATTTGTGAACAAGTTCATTACACAAAGTATGCTAGGCTAATAGGCCTATATAAGGGCCTTTTAATTTTATTTTTGATTATTTTGTTGACTAAATCTACAGTGTTTTTTACACTATGGTCATTCTTTAAAGCAGTTTCTTTTCTGATTAAGTTTTCAAGCTTTTTAGCAATTTTGTAAAAGTGGGAGATGGTCTATAATTTACTAATGGCCTAATTTTTGCGTGTTGGGTTTGTGAATCTTCGGTAATCCACTGAGGATGGGAGCCTGAGGATTTAGTTACTTAAGTATATTTTATTTCGTCTTTAGACACAGTAGGAGATATAGGCCTAGTGCAGGTACCTAACTTAGTTCTATGCAGGAAAGTTCAGGAATAGGCTAAAAAATCAGGTTTAATGTAGGCCTAGACCTAGTTAAGTTCTAGGCCTACTGTAAAACCAGTTCAAATGTGGGCCTAACCTTAACTTAAGTTAAAGCAATTTCGTAATTGAAGCTCTTGATACAGTGAATGAGGGTTAGGCACTTTAAATATACAAATGTATGAAATACCCCCGCCGCAGCAAACCTGCAGACTAAGCGAATTTCCATTTGACTGATTGGATTTACACTGAAATGTCTACTTAAAAATATAACATTTATTCTTGATTTAAATAGAATTAGTTTAACAAGTACTTAGGTTTGCTGCATCAGGGAGGGTAAAACTGTTTTTTTTTTTTTTGTAAAATGTGAATAGTTAGTAAAAAATAAAAACATTTTCCAAATTTGATCAAAATATGTTCACAAACAAGCAAACTACAACAGTTTACTTATTCTCCATAAGAATAACATGGGAATTTTAAATTTACAATTTTTTGGAATTTTCTCCGTAACCATTAGGCGCATAATAACGCTTCAAGATACTAAATTATTTGTTTTTTTAAGCTCTACAAAATGGTTTGGAAAGAAATTGCTAAATTTTATGTTTTTTGGGTCAAAAATGGGAAAAACCTATTTTTACCCCATAAAACCCCCCGTAAACCCCCGTTCCCATGGTCCGATCATGCTGGATCGCGAACTCGTTCGAATAAACGTACGTTTACACGTTTTTACCAAATTTCATCAAAATCGGATCATTTTTGCTCGAGTTATCGTGCTGACGGACACATATATATATATATATATATATATAAATATATATATATATATGAATTTGAACGAATGGTGTTTTTGGCCTCTAGGGACCTCAAAACGAAAAAAAAAATCGGTCCCGCGTCCAGGTCTTACCATGAGTACTACGGTAATAGCTTATTCCCTATATGGGAAATTCGCTAAAATTGAACGAATGGTGTTTTTGGCCTCTGGGGAAAATCAAAATAGCCTACAAAAGTAAATCGGTCCCGGGCCTAGGTCTTACCGTGCCACCTAGGGTAATAGCTACTTCCCTATAGGGAAATTCGCTATAGCTTAAACAAATGCCTCTGGTGTAAATTAACGAATATCAAAATTAAAAAATGTTTTTTAAGTTAGGGTAAACTTTTAAAAAGAGAGGGTCAAATAATCTTCATAATGATGCGGCGCTCCAGAAAATGCTGGAAACTGCTTTTTGTAGACCTGACCTCCAACATTGGATTCATCTAGTAGACCCTCGGAGACCTATCACTTTTTATTTCCTTTTATAATGCGCCTATGTTACGATATGACCACCCTACTTTAATTTAAGTCAACTACTGTCAGGTTATTGGTAAGTAAGTAATTGGAATTTGGTATTTTATGGAGGCCACACTTAAACAGCGCGCTGCAGTGGTGTTAGGTTGGGGGTTGGGTTATCATAATTAGAAAGTATGACTCATCTGGTATCATTCGATTCATAATGAAACAAAGAAAAAGTCATACAAAAATATTTATAATAACCCAACCTAACATAATCGCCGCAGCGCGCTGTAAAATATGTGGCCTCCGTAAAATACCAAAGTAAGTTACTTATCACTTAGGCTAATTTAAAAGTCTTAAACATCCATCCTGACATTAAAGCTAGGCATAGCCTAACTTAACATTCACTGATGTGGTCTCATCCTCAATTTTGACACTGAGGCAAAATAAACATTTGTTGTTGTTCTCTGGGATGGTTTCTACGATTAGGCCTAAACTTACCTACATAACCCTCTAGGTGCCGCATTGAACACCTGTAAATGTCACTCAATTTTCGAGACTTTTGTGGAGTTTGATTAAAAAATTAATAAAAAATCTAAATGATGACATACCAACTTAGATAACATTGTATATTTTCTTAAAACAAATAAAATTGTCTATATAAAAATGTATGATATTTGTGTCTTACCTTGTATAAAAGCATTTTGTTGGTGGTTTGGATCCAGATGTTCCAAAAAAGTTTCAATTTTTTTACATAACCTCAAATGTAAAAAATTAAAAATCGCTAGCCTATATTTACAAAAACTGAGATATACATTTTGTTCTAAATGTAATAAGGAAAAAGAAAATATATTAGTTTCTCCCTGTTTTTCTTTATAATAACTCTAAAAATCACGACACACAACAACAGTACAACGTAAACACTCGTTCCCTAGCAACATAAACAAACAATGACATATGGGAAAACTATCTCAGAACAAGAAAAAAGTTCGGGAAACGGCCGACTTTTATACTCTTCAACATGAAGCCCAGAATCTCCTGAACACGATAGTATGCCCGATGACCGGGTTTGTTCGATCTTGTGGGATTATATCAACTGAAACCGTAGGCCTGTCAAGTTGCCGTAATTACGTCGATTGGCACCTAGAGGGTTAACTACGAGTTGAGGTGTCTTGGTAATTTTGAGAAAGTACCCATTCATTATTATCAATGATTTTTTTTTCGATATGTCAATATTTTTGTTTTCTACTTTACGTTTTAGAAATTAGGCTAAGTACTCATGTGGAAAAAAATATAGGCTATGGTTAATAACTGCCTGACCGTCACACTCATAATAACAATTTTTAAGAAATCAAGACAAAGCACCTGTACATGTGATTTTTACAAGTTTATATGTTAGGCTACACCCGCAAATAAATTATCATTATGTTATCATAATCTAACGGAATTTTGAAATAGTGAACTTACAGCAAGTTTGGTTAGTTTAGAACAGTTTCATTTCAATATTTTTTCTAATTGTTCATGTTGATACTTACTGAACAATAGCTACCGGTATTGAATTTGTCAGATGAAATGTTTTAATCCGTTAATATCCTATAGGCCTATCGTATAAAAAAGTAAACTTTTGTTATATAGAAAAATTATTGATAATGAATGTTCCCTTCAACAGGAAAGTACCACTTGAAAGTAATCCTTGAAGCGTTTGTGGTGATTAGTCTAGTGTGCCATTAAATTTACCCTTAAGGCCACTTAAGTTAGTTAGGCCTAAAATGATAACATCAGTAGGCCTAGGTATCTATTTTTCAATGATTTAATATATATAGTGTAGCCTATACGTGTAGTTTAACATATGTCTTAAATAATAACTTCAGGTAAATTACATTTAGGCTATCACAAAAACGTTTTAAATAACAGACCCTTCTAAATGCCACGATTTCCACTATCTTTTAAAATAATTTGTAGACGTAGGCCTAATGTCTTCTCTGACACCCCTTGGGAAATGCAATTTGTGTAACTTGCCGACATTGTTTTGTTGTGGTTAAAAATTGTCTGCAAACTTAACAAACTCAGTTTAACTGGCCTCTTTGGCTAATTGCAATATACATGGATGAACACTTGAGCGGATAAGGTTTATAGAATAATGTGTAGACCTGTTACGTCTAAATTTAAAGACAAGCAGTGTAAAGAAGGTAAGAAATGTTATGATTTGTGGTAAGTTTTAAAAACCTTAAGTCTTTAACTTAACACAAATCTGTATTTTACAGGATAAATAACACAGTTCAAGATGGGGAATATGTTTGCAAACCTCTTCAAAGGCCTCTTCGGCAAGAAGGAAATGAGGATATTGATGGTGGGGTTGGATGCCGCTGGTAAAACAACAATCCTATACAAATTGAAACTAGGAGAAATTGTTACGACAATTCCTACTATTGGTAAGTCTAAATGATGAAATATATGTTATTTGAGTTAAGAAGGTCTATTTAAATTTGTTTGTCGTACCTGTAGAGTGAAAGTAAAAACTGTCTGTAAATGTAGTATTCTAGAGTATTACAATAATTAATGATTTAGTTTAGTTACGGTAGCTTTTCGTTCATTGATGGCAAAATCATTGAATTACTGAATTGGGACTAATATTTCCATTAAACAACATTTTGTTTCATCTGTGCAAGTTAGGCTCTGAGAATTATTCATCAGCAAATATATCCCCAGATATTATATTTTCCAAATATTTATTCTATGACGATATATTAAGACGATAAGTACCGTAACTGAGTTAGTTGAATTAAGGACGTTAATAATCTTCAGATGATTATTGTGTGATTTTTGATTAACTTCTAGCTCAGAATTAGATCGGTTTTTTCTTAGGTAACTTGGCCTACAACAAGTCCCAGTGCCATAATCAGGAACTAAGGAATAATTTTATTTTGGCAACTAATTTAGATAAAATTTTACCTTAATATTATATTTAAGTTAGGCTTGTACATATGAATGATAATGCGTGAAAAAAATGTTATAGAAAACTAACCAAATGTGTGTTATTTGTCCTGTTGCTCACTGCCCTCAGAACCAATTATAAATCTATCCAACTGTTTTTTTTTTTTTTACTGTAAAACAATAAAAAAATTACCTAAGTGAATAATTTAAATAGTTAGGCCCTACCTATTAATTATTTCATACACTAACAAGGTATAACATGATAACAATTAGTTAAATTAATTTCCATTCAGAAAAGGTAAAAAAATCACTACCTAACATTTTACCCCAGACCAAAATGGTAAATCGTGGGTCCGAATATTTATTTCCCTGTCACTGTTGGCAGCCGTGGTATTTTGTTGTAGTTAAGGATAATATGAGTCCCAAAATATCTGATATTGAAGGTATATAGGCCTAAAGCAGTATGTCTCATCCCCCCACAGTTAGAATTGGTAGGTAGGTACAGTACTGTTTGTGAAATCAATGGAACCGTTTTCATGTATTGTCGGTTGTCGAAAAGTTTAGTACTGAAAACTTAGTAACCTCAAAATGTTTCAGTTTATTTGAAAAAAATCATGATTGGCTGTAGCCTACTGTAATATTTAATAGGGTTACAAAATGTCCCGGCGCCGAGAAAAACATGGGCAACAGCATAAAACGAGTATTGTAGGTTACAGTGTGTCCACCCAACCTGGAAAATCAGGAATTGTGTGAATTTAGACAGCCGGGAAACTTAAATTGTTCGAATGAAATCCAAAAATTCCACCAATTTTTCCTTATGCGTAGCCTAGTTGAAAATCACAACTGCGGAAAACTGTCGTGATTATAGACATTTCCGAGATCACAGGAAATCGCCAAAAATTTCGCTGTTTGGTGTCAAGATGATTACAAAATGTGGCCACGATCGCAAAAGAGATAGTTGAAATTACCGCTGGAGACAATCGTAGTTGTACCACGATCGTGTGAAATCATAGCAAGTGTTTTTACGATTGTGGATTATTAGCACATTTTTTACTACGATAGTGAGAATCAATCAAAGGTGTTAACATGATCGTTTGGAAGATAAACGGATGTTGCCTCGATTGGAAGACACATCGGTTGCCTTGATCGCAAGAAATTATCACGGAATTTGCGATTGCAAGTAATGATCACCAGTGGGTTTGACATGACTACAGAAGGTGATCACAGTTGTCCAACTCGTGAGAAATATTGACGGATGTTGTTACGGTTGCATGAAATCATCATGGATTTTGCCTCGACCGCGGGACATCATCATAGATGTTATAAAATATAGTCCAGACTCTTTAATCGCTTCCGTTTCTCATCACTTCTGCGTCTCGTCGAGCACAGCCACGTTCCCGTCGCTCATTGTGCTAATTTTTGTCCTTAATTCAATAGGCCTAGGAATAGCAAATTTTTGGTCTAATTAGTTTTAAGCAGGTCTGGTTTTTTTTTGTTTTCTGCAATCTAAAAAAATGGAGAATAAATTTTTTAGCATTTGAATACCTATTGAGTTTCTTTATCCTAGTTACCTAAAAAGTTACATTACAAACTTGTAAACAACATGTCTCAAACTTTTCAGGATTTAAATAAACAACATGTGTCATAATTTTCAGGATTTAACGTGGAGACTGTAGAATACAAGAACATTAGCTTTACAGTATGGGATGTTGGTGGTCAGGACAAAATTAGGCCGTTATGGCGGCACTATTTCCAAAACACACAGGTTTGTACTTTCCTAATCACAGACGTTGTGCATCTTAATTTGTATTAAATTCCATTTTGTAGCTCCTTATTTTAATTTCTATGTATATCTAATACTATTTTAGGCCTACTTCAATGGTCTATTACTAGTTTGCAATTCAGTTGAATATTTATTTTTTTGACAATTTTCTTCTGCTCTCTAGAGTATCTCAGTCTGTGCTAACGGATTTTTAATTAGTTTAAACATTGGTTCTGAGATAGTTCCTCTAGAGTAATGATTCATCAAACCACTCGCTTGACTCATTTATTTGTCATTACCATCCATACCGTAAATATTTGCTAGTATATTGCTCATGATATTTTGTATTTAACAGGCTTACAAATTGCCACAAGTAAACTTTGATTCAAGTGTAGGTATTAGCTTCTATCCTATATAATCCAAACCCATGTTTAGCTATACAAAAAAATATACATATATATCACATAGTAACAGTTTTTGGAAGAAAAACATTGTGGAGGAAATCGATGAATAGACACAAACACAACTACACTTCCCAAGAAAAGAGTTCATGTCAGTTACCAGCACTCAACACATTTTGTAATATAATTAATTTGATATTCCACAATTAGTTTCACATTATTTAACCTTGACACAAGCTAGCTAATACGGAAAAACTTTTTTTAGAAAATAACATGGGAAAATCCAACTTTTTTAACTAAAAAAGCTTTGACAACATGCTGCAGCTATGGTACTATACCAAAATTACATTGATTTTATTATTTTAATTTTTAGGCATTTAATTTAAGTTAAAATTTGTGATGATTTTGTTGCAGGGTCTGATCTTTGTAGTTGATAGCAATGACAGGGAACGTATCGGAGAGGCACGGGAAGAACTAATGAGAATGTTAGCTGAAGATGAACTTAGGGATGCTGTACTTCTAATTTTTGCCAACAAGCAGGTAAATACTTGTGAATCCTGTTAATCCTGCATGAATGCTAGTCATTTTTGCCATTGGATGTCTGTATTTCTTTCAGTTTACAATACATTTCCATTAGCCTAAACATATTCCTTACCGCTCACTCCTGAATGAGAGGTCTTGAGTTTCATGATAACGTATTAATCACCTCAATTTGAATTTGGAATATAAATTGTTATTTGTTATTGGTTTATGTTTACTAGCTTTATTATACTTGTTTGTAACACAGTTAAACTTAAGTAAATATAAATTTCCTTTAAGGTATTGATATTAAATTGTGAAGCCAAATGTTGATGCATTGTAATTTACCATACAGACCTTTTGTGGTCTACAGGCCACTGTGTATCAGCCTACTTGTAGAGTAATTCAATTTTATCGTTTGCCTTGGTTAGAAGGTATTATAAATCCAATAAAATTTTATCATCTTTTCAGTATACTTGAAATTATTAGTCTGTTATCACACCACAATGCTCAAAATAATGTTAGGGCTCCATTATTATTGCATTTTTTCTCTAAAATATAATTGCACCTACCGGTTTCCTTTTTTGTAAATTATTTTCTTCAGAACAACGTAAATTGTAAACTTTGTTGGTTTAGGCACATTTACTGTAAAGTTGCTATTTTGTAACTAATGTTTTGAAGCTGTGCAGTTTTGTGCCAGGAAATGAATGATAAGTGTTATCTTCTTATCCTACTCTCTTTCTGTTGCTGATTATACTGAATGTGATTCTTAAATTTTAGCTGTTCTTGAGTTAACTGTATACATCTGTGTTGTTGATTGCAGGATCTGCCAAACGCAATGAACGCTGCAGAGATCACAGACAAGTTGGGGCTGCACTCACTACGCAACCGCAACTGGTACATTCAGGCTACATGTGCAACTAGTGGAGACGGTCTGTACGAAGGCCTTGATTGGCTGTCTAACCAACTCAAGAACGCCAGTCGTTAGTGAGCGTGTGATTAAATGGACAAACGAGGTCGCAAACTCGACTGTGGCGCGTCGAGCCCCCACCCTACAGAAAGAAGTATGAGACGCGCGATCCAGACTTTACGTTGGGTTTTTAATTTGTTGCATCGTGCTGTGGGGGAAAATTCGCAGCTAAGAACAGTAATCCGAGGGGGGCGGGGGAATTTTTCTGCAAAGATTTCTAAAAGATTATCCTAGTGTAGGACAGAAAACTTTTGAATAATATATATATAACAACATTCCGGCAAATGGTCTGATACGCGAGTGTCGGCTGATGTACATTTTGTCTCTTCAACAGAATCTTCAATCTAAAATTTGTTAGGATATAACGAATGTTGTACATTTTCCTTTCGCATATTTGTTATTATCGATATTTAAATATATTGTATGTTTTTGACGTTTAAACTTGGAAAGAGATGTATGTTGAGGAGACTTGTGAAATATAATAACTATGTATTTGTGCTTGATCATTTTGTTCTTTTAAGTTATTCTTAATCCTGTGAATTTACACCTTAGTTTTATATTCATATTTTGATGTATCGCTTTAGAATATTACTGTGTATTATCGTCCCTATTATTTTTTGTTATTTAACCTGTGTTGTTCTTTTGCAATTTGTTGGTTATGTTTTTAGTAAATCAAGTTAAAAGTTCCAAGCTTTAAAAGTCTACAAGCTCACCCTTATCGCCTGGCGTTCTACTTTTAATTATATATATATATAAATTTATTTATTTGAATTTTTCGTATTTAATTTTGTTTTATCTACAACTTGACTTAAAGGTGCATTTATAACACATGTAAATATAACGTAGTATCATGTACAGTTTGTTATTTCAATTCACATTCTCATTAGTGTATGTAGTTGAGAAAAGCAGTTGAAAATCCAAATTTTCCAAAGCATAAAACCGCTGGTATAAATTTGCTTGTAAATGTTGTATGAGAAAAACAAATTAAATATAAATATGATTCATATTTCAATGTTCAGTACAAACCAAATCGGAGAAAGCTCTAAATAAATTTTTTCTTTCTACTTAAGTTTGTTGTGGAATTCCCTTATTGTATTTTTTTTTTACCCTTTCTTTTTCAAATCATAGTAGGTAGTATTAACATTTATTCCCAATCGATAGCTATTTTTTTCTAGGCTTATTAAATACAATCCAACCTACAAAATAATTAGGCCCTGAATATGTTAAAGTATTGCAGAAATTCAACGCTACTATCATCTTCATCATTGCATGCGTTCTTGTCCAGCATTATCTAAATAGGAAATTGAATTTCTCTTTATTTGTTAATTTACGCTGCTAATATTGATAGTAGTGTGATGTCCTTCATTCTTACATAGCTATGAGAAAACAATCAAATAGACCCAACTCGAAGATCGATAGGCTTATATAAAAACAATCTTTAAAGCATTTTTTACTACTTTCCACTATTAAGTTTCAAGTCTTGAAGTTTTTTTTTCTTTTAATACAAGCACACAATTAAGGGTAACTATGTGAAGCCACCTCTCAAGGGTCGAGGCAACTTCAATGTTTCAGGTGTAAAAAGTAATGCCTGAACTAATTAATTGGCAAATAAAAGTTTAAAAAATTATTTTTATCTTGAAGATTACACATCAGCTATACAAGTAAGCCAACAGCTCAACACTCATTAAAACACCTAAACAAACTACGTTGGGAAAGCAACATTCGATACAACCTTCAACATAACATCAGATATGGTAAACCTTGTGTATCGTTGTTTGGTAGTTCCATATACTACGTATAGGGAGAGAAAGTAAAAAGCCAATATACAATTTTATTTTTCTATTGAAAGTTGCAAAATGTCATTTTCAATGGTATCTTACATTTATCACCCTCCAATATTTCTCTAGGTTTCTCTAGGTATTTTCTGTACACGTGTGGGCATTTTCATCCTCTAACTCTTTGAAGTTGATCTGTACCGATTCATTTGAATTGAAACAGTGCTGTCTTTGTTGTTTGTTCTTGCACATATGTTGTGACGTTGGCGTGTCAGAACTGAAAAATTTTTGTCACTTTTGATGCAAAGTTGATTACTTTTTAATTTACTTTTCCATTAATGAGGACTAATAAAATAAAACAGATAATAGCCAGACACACATTCCTCTTGAAATTAATTATTTACATTATTAAACCTTTAAAAACAGTTGCATGGTGTGGTTGAGTGAAGGTGTTTTCAAGTGTGTTTATATTGTGACCTTGACTTGTAAACAGCATTAACCATCACCCATTTTGGCAAAACAACTATTAACGCCATGGTAAAACATGAAGTAGGCCTATCATTGTTATAAAATTGCTGATTAAAAGGATGTAGCTTTGTTGATTGGGTAAGCCAATTAAAAAATAGCTGATTTGGACCTTTTTTGGAGTTATTGTATAAACTTCCAAAAGCAGGTTGACATAATTCTCACATTTGTATCATCACTGGATGCAATATGCTAAAGAATTATTGGCATATTATTGTATAACTAAATTAAATCTGAGCCCTGATTAATGATTCTATCTGCTCAATAAAATACAACTGTAAATAGAGCATCAAGCATATAAAGGTGTAATCAATCTCCTATTTCTGATGTAGGAAGACTTGTGCATCCAATATTTATGGTGGATTGCTGTCATAAACTTAAGGGACAAGAACACAAACTCAATAAATATCAGAACCTTTAATTTATTAATATACCAATATGATACAAAATATACAAAGTTTCCTTGAAATATATGATATCAATGAAACAACCATTTAAACTGGGCAAACTATATTTGCTACCCAATTATAAATGAAATCACATATCTCTTGGTGGTGGAAATCTATATTAACTTTTAAAACCTAGACTCGTCACTGTCTATATTGGTTTTATAGTAATAAATAAATATCCCTAACGTATTTACAACGTCTTAATTTACAAAGAATACATGGTAGATATGGTAATGGAATGTTTAAAGAATGTAAAATGTAGAGGAAGTACATGGGAAACTATATTGTTGTGTAAAATGAAAATATTCTAGTTACAAAGCTAAAAAAGATAGTAACCTATACGAGACTGACTTGTAATTTAGTGAATTTATTTTATTCTAATGCTACTGAAAACTTATAGAAAAATCACATAAAATGTCTTTATGCAAATAGCTCTAATAATGTTTAAAATAACTAATCAAATTAAAATTGATTCAGGATTAAGAAGAATACTGTTTTGTCAATGAAAGAACTAGCAATGCAAATTTTTTAAAATATTAATTTCTACCCATTTTTTATACTTTTATTTCACATCAAAGCAGTAGGCCTATAGGGAGCATCAATTTCACTGCTAAAATATTTCAAATTGAAATTACCTTATCAAACATAAGGAATAGATTTTGTATTGATAAAAATCCAAACTTGAAGCACCAAAGTAAAAGAAGAGGTAGGCTGTACAATATTTGGTACGGAATAATAGTCATTGAATAGTCATTCATAACATAATGTCACTATACTTAACTTAAATTTTTAATGAAATGGTTAGTAGTAACTGAAGAAACTTAAGCAACAATAATTTAACAAGAAATATTAAATGAAACAACTTATCCTGACCTAATTGATTGTGAAACTAGATTATCTATTTAATTAAAATTCATCGGTATCATGCTAGGTGTATTTTCAACATAAGATCTGCTGTTTGTACTTTGAAATTTTAGAATCAAGTTCCACACTTAAAAGAGCTTAGGTACATACTTTTTGGGCATAGCTTTCATGCACAACTTAAAACTGTTATGATCTTAAATTACAATGATCATAATGAACTATTGATAAAAGAAGCAGAGTGAAATGACAAGATGATTATCCAAAGTTCTCAAAGTGATGAATGAAGTAAGGCAGCTTTCTTCCTTTGTTGACTTCTTCGCAAGCAGACATGATACTTTTGGTAAGCGGCCTTGGCCCACAACTAAACACTCCGATCTTGCTGACCTGCAACAAAATGATCAAGGTACAGTCATCTGCTGAAGCATATTTTGGAATACATTATTTTATTTTTATCGTAAATCGTCAATTTTATATAACAATTTCTTGGATTACAGCCTCCATATGGGTATTCTTGGTTCAATTCAACTGCACACAGTCACAGTTAACTTGTAGCTGATTGTCTTTTGAATTAAGAAGTTGTAGATGCAGGCCTGCTGTATTTGCGCTCCAATTCTCTCCTTCCTTGCGAGGGAATTCTCTTCCTTGCATCCCCAATGGCCCCAAGAAACCTAAAACCTCTTGCGCCCCTGGGCTCAAGCCCATCTAGAGGCTTTGTCTAGATGTGAAGTACAATTGGTAATGTAAATATTATTTATCATAATAACATTTCTAAGACCTTGAATTGGGCACAAGTGTACAAAAAATGTTATATGATGCATTACACTTGTTTAAAAACTGGTTACTTACATAACTGTGTTTTTTCTGTACAAATTTCAAAAACGAAGACATGTCTGGGCGACCAAAGTGGTTGATTGCCTTCAAGCCAGTAAACATACTGGTTTTGGAGAGACGCTGGAAGTGGTTCTCGCAAATATACTGAAAAAAAACATATAACTCGGTATAACAAATTTAGTAGTACAATCCATATACACAAATATGTTCTAAACAAAGGCAGGGGTAATCCTAAATAATCTGTGTCCTAGGAATTTAAAATGAGAATGGAAATTTTTGGAACAACTGAAAATGTTAAACTTGTTTTGCCATGTTCTGTATCCCTTCTAACCAATTGTTTTTCCGCATGTGTAAATTTTCATTTATTTGTCCATATTTTTTACAGGAAAACCATTTATTTGATGATACTTCCACCTCTAAAAAGGATATCCATATATTTTACCATTCTCCAATGTTTGAACCAATAGCCATCTATGTATCTTTAACAATAAAAAATATATACCCTAATGACAATTAAAAATGTAAAGGAGTTGTAACTAAAATAAAATTAAATTTGTTCCCGGCACATATATACTCCAATGAATAGAATGAATATTCATACGTTGAATAGTCTAACAAAGTAAGAACACATTTTAATAATTAAGTAATATTTTAAACTAGGGGAAACCTGTCGAAATCGACGGTTACTTTCAAGGCTTACCTTAATTCATCTAACTGCGATGAATTGGGTGAAATATACATATTTTGAGCATTTAACATTGTTCAAAGAGTAATAAGTGTAAAAAATAACAATATTGCGTTAGTTGCCAAATTTGGTGGTTCATTCAATGATTAAAATATTTCCTATTCTGTACGTCATCGGAGTTATTATTAGTATGTTATATGGTATCTCTTCCTTCGGTAGAACCTTTAAATAGTATTTAAATCGTATTGGTGGATCTTGTAGTTAAACACTTCCGCGACTTCAAACTTCTCGTTTGAGAAAAAATATATGTTTGTTGAGAAGACACGTTCTAACTTCAAAGGGAGGTATATCCGTTACAGTGTAAGTTTGATTTTCCTTCGTCACGTCGCGTCAGTTCATATCGTACTTCTGTGCCAATGAATGAACCCTCTAGCATAGTTTTGAGAAATTGACTATGGGGTTACTGATAAAGCTGGAATTCCTTGACATGGGGGATGTCAGTTAGTTGTCTCGGCCTTATCAATAACATAAAGTTGTCAATATAATCTCTCTACGGAATGTTAGGTGTAGTGGAATACATGAAGTAAAGTTGGCTTTTATTCTTGAACTGTTAGGGGCCTCCTAGTTCATATGATCTTGGCGGCTTCATTGGCAATAAATAATGCAAATGACATAGCAATGGAACATTTCCAAAAAGCAAAAAAACTGTAAAATGGCTGTTACGTAGATATTGACGTTTACATATTGTTAATCAACGTAGAATAAATACTTCAATCCTTTAATACGTTTTTTTTATGGCGACCATTCATATTAGGTAAGCCAAGTATGAATAGAGATGAGTGTAGGATGAGTGGCACGATCTTGAAGTCTTGTTAGTGACTAAGGCCGACATTCCTTAGATACAGCTGTTAATTAATAGCCCATACAGCGAATGGCAACCAAGGGACCTACAGTTTATAGTTGAATTAGAACCAAATTTTTTTTGCATTGGTATTTATGAATTGGTATAATTATCAGGATAGCACTGCGGGTAGTCGTAGTACTCACTCGTGCGGACGTTAATCCACACCAGGGAGTATCGCATCCACAGTGCATTCCTATAAATATCCACAATTCGTCAACTCCTAGTAGCTGGATTACAGGACGACACCACCCGTCCCAGTCAAAGGATTATGTGATCTAGTTTAAAAGGAATATGACCTTTCTGTCATGACAGTAGCTGCTTAAATAGTATTTTCTCTTTGTACCATATTTTACAGCCAAAATGTCGTGTTATTTTCAATAATGTTACTAATTCAGTGCGCCAAAGTCCGTAATATAGGCAGGTGCAAGTAATTTGTCAAGATAGGACCATTTTAGGCAATGCTTCTAAGTTTGGATTTTATTAGACACAGAAAGAGCAGATATTTCTACATATATTTTGTAGAATAATATGATAAAATGTAGGCAAAAGTGGCGAAAAAGGCACACACCAACCCGTACAATAGATATAAGATAGTTCAATAAGATATAATTTAAGAATTTATAAATAATTTAATTGCTGTGATAAAAGAATTTTCCACTGATTTGGTAATGGAACGTTATATTGCAAAACATGGCATGATAAAGAAGAAAATCAATTTTAAAATCAGAAAATAACATTGCAAATATTTATTTGGTAGAATTCAACTCCCAATAAATATGTGAATTTAAAAATGAACAGCTTGTTTCATTAAAAAGTATTATTCTCATGGCCAAAATGTAAACAACTCTGTGGAGGGATCTTTAAAGGCTTCTGGGGCAGAGTCCTAAGGGATTTTGCTAAGTTTTTCTTTTGATAACTCATCTACAGACCAAGACCTTTCTTTGGACACCTCTACCAAGTTTCTACGCCCAACCGTTCTCTCAAATTAGTGGGGACAAAGTTTCCAATCAAATATTTAGATTCCCCCATGTTAATCTTATGGGAGAAACTCCAACTTTGATGGCCTGTGGGGCAAAGCCCGAGGATTTTTACTACATGAATTGGTGAAAGGGGGCGTCTACACAAAAAATACTTTATTTTGACACGTCGTTTGTAAAAATCCGTCCATTATTAACGGAGGAGTAGTGTTTTGTAGAAATCGCCTTCACGTATTATATTTAAGGATTTTTACAAACAAAATGTACCTACCAGCATTGTGGTCCTCAAATCGAACTTGTGGAAAAACTGTGTGATGAAGATATGAATTTCTAATACATTGGTAACATCTTTCTTCTCCACATCTCGTAAGACGTCTATGAACCACTCAAAGTGCTTGTGAGAGGGGCAGATCCACAAAAAGTAGACCTGAAAACAACACGTTATAGTGAGACAAGACTTTGTGGTAGTTTGTGAAATTGTTTAATTGCATTGGTGTATGTTGCTAGCCTAGTGGTTAGCGTCTTCAACTTTGGTGCGAGAGGAACAGTTTTAATTCCCGGCATCTCCTTTTTATTTTTGTTGTTCTAAGACGCTAGGCACGAGCCCGGAATAATTTTTCACATTGCTTCAGACTAGACCTTGTGTTGTGGTATTATCACTTAGAAGAATCCAATGGTGATTTGGTGGGATTTGAGCCCAGGACCTCCAAGGACCGAAGTCCCGTGCTCTACCACTTGACCAGCTCTCTCCGCATCCCCCGGCAAATCCTTTACCGTTGATCTAAATACATTTATCACCTCAGATAAAAATTGAAAACCAACATAAATCAACCAGAAACTAATTTGAGAAGCTACTGTATAATAAATTCAATATTTGCAATCAATTATACATATAAAACTGGTGTATTACCCTTTTGACTTACCTTCTTACAAGCGACTCCTGAGTATCGGTTTGTAGACGTCCCGAACACAAGATCATTGAGTATAGAAGCATACGGCGTGACTCCAATACCCCCTCCAACCATGACAGCCACTTCAAACTTGTACCAGTCTTGGTTACCACCTCCAAATGGTCCTTCCAACCGGATCTGTGAAACAGGGAAAAATAAGCATTAAATGTTTATGTTTTGTTATGAATACCAGAAGAACATTTCAAGTAGCTTTTCTGTTATGTACTTAATCAAGCTACAGTTTAAACACAAAAATTACAAAACTCATTAAAAAACTGGTTCTAAATTCATAAAATTATCAAAGGAAATTAATTTTGTTTATTTCTATCTAGCAAAATGTCAACCAGACAGAAGGAAGAAGACCATGTTGATGCTCCTTCTAAAAAAATTCTATTAACATTGAAAATTTATAGCATAACATTCATCAACAATAACAGACAAGATTATTTAGTAATGATTGTTTTTTTACTAGTTTCTTTTATACCTCTTTATTAAATACTCAGGTACAGTAGACTCTCTCTTATCCGGACACCTTTTAACCGGACTACACTCGGCGGAAATTACATCTCTTTAACCAGACAATTTTTATCAGCACATCGGTTTAACCGGACTAGATCGGCAGGAAGTGAGCGGTACTGAAACGACTGTTCAAATACCCACACTATTCAAGGAGACAAAACTGAAAGGACAACTTATAGTAAACTATAGCATCTGTTATGCCACACTAATTATATTACTGTAGAACCAAAAACTAAAAGAGAAAATCAAATTTTGATAGCAGAACACTCTGGGAGTGCCTCATTCAACTACAGTATGTTCCATTTAAATACAATATAAAAACAAGTCTAAAGCTAGCCCATGTAGGGAATGTCCAATATACAACAATCAATGTTACCTTAGGCTGGTCCTCGTCTGGGTTGTAGTTGCAAGGGTCGAAGTAGTTGCGCAACTTCCACGTCCACGGACCTTGCGCCTTGATGTGGCAAGAGAGGAAGTTCTCATGGGGAGCCGATGTGAGTGTGAAGCTGTGGAACTCGTCTGTGCGGAAGGCCGTACAGGCTAGTCTCACCCACTGACCCGAGAGGTACTTGAAGTTTGGCGGTCGGTAGAACTTGATCTTGATCACGTCCGAGGGCAGTAGGTCCGTCTCGAGTACGTCCAGCGCAAGGTACTTTGTGCGCAGACTGACAATCTATTGGAGAGAAAAGATTTCAAGTTATAGATTGAACATTAATTGTACAAAAGGATTCTGAGAAACAATGCAGCTTGAATTGGAACACCATTAGCACATAATCAAGGAAGTGGATCGATCAAACAAAATGTATGATGCTGGTCAATATACCTAAATGATTAAAGCATTCAGTGAGAAAGAAAGTAACTAACACTCTCCATATAAAAATGAATAACTCCTGCACCATCACACATATCCTTAAAGAGTAATCGGTACTTAGCTAATTTTTTAGGAGTACACACCTTTATCATTGTCACAACAATACAGTGCTACAAGTGAATTTATGTCTAAAGTGGAACACTTCTGATACCTGTACATAGAGTTAAAATTCCTTTCCTTAAAATTTTTTAAACAAAATTGAAGCATGATTATGTATGACTAGTCTGTGGATATTGTATTTCCATTAACCGATATGTTAGGTCCGTTGAGAGACCTTACGAAGAAATCTCTAAGCCTCTTAAACTTTGATTACCTTATCCAGAGTAAAGATGATCCCAGGAATTATGAAGAACATCCAGAACCGGGGCGGTCCTGTGATCCGAGCCAATCCATGGATCAGACAGAGCAAATACAGCAATACATAGAGACTGTGGGTCAACCAGAAGAACTTGTAGGCTTTCTTACGGATCAACGGATGAGCAAACACAAAGATGATGATGATCACGCAGAACAACAACACTCCTGTGATACCTGTAGAAGGTTTAAACACGTTAGTTTGGTTTTTGAAGATCACTTGACTTGAAAATACATGAAGGAAGTAAGGAAGAATGGAAATGGGTCCAAAAATAACTTACCTAAGAAAAGAAGTAATTTGTAAATGGCATTGTAGGTAAAAAAGAATCAAATTAATTCTAGTTTTTGTGTGCTATGCACGGCTAGGAACTCTTTCCTTAGGCAAGCTAGTTCTTTTTTGAAAAAAATGATAAATTTTAATTGGTTGGCGGTATTTTATACTCTTGATAGGTAATTGAAATGCAAATATTGAAAGTAAAACTATATAAGGACCAACACATTGTATAGTCGTGTTTAAAAAGTTACTGGGGTCATTTTAAAATCATAATTTTTGTAAACAAAATAAAATATTTATGACTGGTGATATTGAATCTGATCTTCAGTTATAGTATACTTAGGTGCTGTGAGGTGTCTGGAGAAGGAGTCAACTACATTTCGTCATATCATGTATGTTTGTGGTTTGGCTGAAAACTGTTTACAGAAGCAGGTAATTGTACTCATGTAGCTACTAAAAAATTCTTTTTCTAAATTTAACTCATTTCAAAGGCAATTTAAATTCACCAATTTCTGTACCTGTTATAGTTTGAAACAGCCAAAACGTGATCCCCGGCTTGTAATCTGATGGGAAGTGAACTTCACTTGTTAGACAATGGATATGTTCCAACGGTTGCATCGACACATGGTAGAAGTTGACAATGTGACCGACAGTATGCAGTAGAGAGAAGAAGAAGGCAGTGCAAGCTGCGATCTTGTGGAACTGGATGTGAGCATCAAGAGGAATATACTGCTGGACGGAAAACTCCTGCGAACACAAGTATGTCGTTAGAACATAGCGATTATTTCAATATACTGTAACACTATAAAATATGTCAATGACGTAAGAAAGTGTTTAGTTTAAGACGACGATCTATGTGTGCCTTCAGGGAAGGCAGGTGATCTCTTCTAAGTAAGTAGGTACTAAATTTGGAAATCAACTATGCTTTGAAAGGCATCTCAGCTAGTGCATCCAAGATAAATCTATGTGACTTATAGAATATCATAACAACTAGGCTACATCTGGTACTCATTGCTGTGATGTCTACTACAGTGTCGATTCTCTTACCTTCAGCTTGGTGAGCAAGTTGCGAGACATGGTGATCAGCAGTAGACAGTAGCAGAAGGATAGAGATGCTGCAGAGCCTCGGGTGATTGCAATACCAACTCCCATGATGTGACGCAAGTCCGTGTGTTCAGCCAAGAACGAGTAGTCTGTATATTTTATTTTAATAATTATTTGGCAATTTGTTATGGAATTTGCTCTGATATCAATTATGGTAGGTACTGATTTATTTCAGGATAACAAAATTCATTCAAACTATCTATACAGGGTGTTTTTTTAAAAACTTGCATCTTTATTTATGTAAAAACCGCAGTAGATAGAAATATGCAATTTGCGGGAATCATCTATTGACGTAGGGGGCACAACTTTTTTGAATTCAACGTTACATTTACATTCCCCCCCCTTTCCCCCCCATCCCCCAACTTAATTTTTTTAAATAGCAAGGTACCCCTTGTGACATATCAAATAAAAGAGCATGAAAAAAGAAAATGTTTGATGAAAAAAAATTGAAAATCGGTTCATAAATTTGCGAGATATATCACTCCCCCTCCCCAGAACTTAATTTTTTTTTATCGCAAGGTACCCCTTGTGACATATCAAATGAAAGAGCATGAAAAAAGAAAATTTTTGGTGAAATTTATTTTTTATTTGATACGTCACAAGGGGGGGGGTACCTTGCTATTAAAAAAAAGTTATGGGTAGGGGAAAAGGGGGGGGATTATCTCACAAATTCATGCGCTGATTTTAAATTTTTAAGTCAAAGGCAATACTTGGTCAACTCTTTTAACATCATGGAATATTCTGACAAATGTTAAAAACACACTTCACTTTACAATCCAGTTTTATTTTTCTGATGGAGTTTATTGTCACAACAGTCGATCATTAACTTACACCCCCTACCATAACATTGCGTTTTCATAAAATTCATTGATCACATTTTTTACTCAAAATATATATAGAGTACATTTTCTTGAATACTTACGAATAAATCTTTCAACAAAGAGAGCGATGGTGATAACGTAGAACACAAACAGGTAGAAAATGTTCTGTCTGTTTTCCTCGAGGTAGGTAGTGACACAGTCGATATGTCTTCTGAACCAACCTTTGTCCATGTCTGATACTGGGTCGATGTGGAAACTTGTCATCCTGGTACAACAAGTATTGACTTTAATTCCACCCAATGGGCATTAAAATAAGAAAACAATTGTTTTAAAATTTGTTTAAACTCATATTTGAACTGTTGTTAACATGGCTAAACTTGGTGTGTGGTGATACAAATTGTATCACAAAGTATAGCCTTAAAAATATCAGACCCTAGATAATTAACTATGCGTTTTGACTGTTTTGAGTTAGTTTTTTTTTGCATTTGAACGCTTGGTTTTAGCGTTGTCAAATATAGCTAAAAGCAGTTGGAGACTGTCAGGATTTAGACATATGTCCTGTGTTCTTGTCATCTTCTGCGCCCCCTATGTTTTAACTAAATGAACTATTCTCATTAAGGATATATTGTGAAAATATTGAACCCTTACTATGACCACTCACCTAGCTACGTTTGTAGATGTGTCAAGGAAATTCTGTTTCGCTCCTTTGCAGTCTAAACCGATTGCGACAAAATCACCCTTGTATTCTTTCATCATCAACTTGAAGTCAGCGTAAGTCAGGAAATCTTTTCTTTCAAGTCCGGCATTCTAAAATCAGGAATAAAACAAAAATTAATTCAACTAAGAAAGATAAAAAAGTTTATCTTACACGACGGTACTTTTTAACATAGTTCTGGCAACAATACACTTTATTGAATGGATTTTCCACTCCATGACTGCACTACACTATTAAATCTAGATTATAAAATTAGACAAAAACACACTCCTATAGCACATATTTCAAAACAAAATTTTGTAGTAAATATTAAAACTTAACAATTACTAAATCTCACCTGGAACATTCCGTCAATCAGCTCAGTAACATGAGCGTCAGACAGACTCGTAGTTCTCGCTATCTCCACCAGAGACCTAAGCATTTCCGAGAGTTCCCCTTTGTCTATTACACCGTTGCGATCATTGTCACACATGTCAAATATGATCCTCAACTTGTCCTCGGTCTTTCCTCTTGAAAACAGCACGACTGTATCCAAAAATTCCTACGGAAAACAAGACGTAATGTGAATATTTGTAGAATAATGCAGAGCATTGAATAAATGCTCTCTTAGACTGTGGAATGATGCATGTTTTATTTCAAACACATCTGTATCTGGGTTTGCGCCTTGAAAAACCAACTACGGTAATACAAATGTTTATATGTTCTTAGTTTAATTTAAATGATTGTGTTTTTTATTAGTATATTTTATTTTTGAGACAGTGATGCACACATATTTAAGCTCAATTTGTACGAAGAACGAGTGTAAAATGAGTGGGATGTTTACAATGGGGGGCCACCAGTTGACCGACAAGATACTTGGTCGTCTTGCCACTAGACCGTCTTTTTTAATTAAATAGATAAATACTGAAAACCAGTACGTCGACAAGTTATTTCATCGTCAGTCCAGTTGACCGGCCTGTAAATCTAAATTATTATATACGAGAAACCAACTTGTCGTCAATCCTCCCGACCGACTTACCACTTGCTCGTCTTTTAGGTGGGGATGTGTTGAGCGGCAGTGCCAGCGGCGCGCGCAGCTGTGGAGGGCACTGCAGGCGTACCAACTTCTGTATCTTGTAGCGGCGGTTTTCATTCCGACGATTTTCAGCTATCACAATGCAGCGGACTAGCGAGGTTCTTATTACGTGTAATTGTTTGTTTCTCAATCGATATTTTGTTATACACAGTACAGTGAATATAAATAGGCCTATATTAGTTTACTTCAATGAAATAAATGTTTTATTTAGCTAAATAAATAAAAATACGCCGATTGAACAAATAAAATTGTTACAGACAACAGGAAGTCCTTAATATGATCAAAAAAGTGTTTATCTTTATTAAAAAATTACTGAAATTTGTAAACTTACTGCTGGCGACAAGGGTGGTGCCATACATAGGTTTATCAATAAATAAGATAAACATGGACAACCTTATGCAGCTATAAGTCAGGAAACATTTGTAGAAACATTAAAAAGCAATACCAATTTATGAAATATGATAAAATATTTACAGGAAATGTCGATTACTGTATATACATCGTGAGTTGACAGCAGTTACACACTGGTGATCTTTGAGTTGACTCTTTTAAACTCATTGATTATTACTTTTTTTCGTTTTGAAATAAATTCTGTATTACTTTGAAATTGCTCGAATTCGAGCAACATGTACACGAGTTTGAATATTAAATTAACTAACATATTTATGTAATAGGAGGGTCAAATATTGTTAACAGTGGTGAGGTAACTACCGTTACATTTATTCAATTGAGAGATAAATACAAATTGATAATACCGGTTATTTAAAGCTTTGTTGTCTATTTTTCCCTCTCTTAAAAAATAAAATAGAGAATGAATTTAGACTTTTGGTGACATTAGTTTGTACTATTTCTCCTTAAATGACACTGCTGTCTTGGTAAGCAATAGTTATCTCGGTAAACTATTTATTTGCTGAAGTGCACAGTGTGCTACTTAGCCTGAGAAACATCTTTTGTTTTATGATTTTGTTGTAGGCCTATTGAAAACCTTGTCTAGAAGGAATTCCCATTGCCTGTGTTACCGGGGAGAAGTTTTTCTTAGTAAAGTCTGTAGACGTCTTCGGTTTTACACAGAAACATGTAATTATAATTGAAGAAGTACATGTTTTATCCTCTCACGTTGTTGCGTGGACAATACTATGGTGAATCAATTCTGTGTACTTCAATTGTCTAACTGGCCCTAACTGACGCATCCTTGTTTTTTTTTTTACTAAATAATGTAGTCTTTACTTCCGTGGATCTTTGCTTTTTATTGTTTAACTGTCCTCAAGTAAGTCTGTGTTCTGAGTAAGTACTTCAAATGCACGGCACTACTGTATATTCAGATTTTCTAATGAACTATCATAGATAAAAGGAGTATAGACATGTATGTATGACAGAGTATGTCTACTCCTTTTATCTATGGTACTATTTCCAAGTTCATCTGGACGACCCTGCAAATCGTTTCTATTAAAAAAAATTGTATTTGGTTTATGTTTATGAACTTGTATGAGTGTTGTTAACTAAAGCTAAATTCACATCAAATTAATTAATTTAATTTATTTTAATAGTATTTCTAATTAATTTCAGTTTTAAGAACATATAGTAAATAAATCCTTGTTGAAACGGCTGTACTATCCATGCAATTATTGTCAAACTATATGTTCAAAGATTCCTGGACGGCAATGTTATAATACTAGTTGGAGCAGAGGTACTGGATCTAGGGTTAATACAGTTTTGTGACGTGTAAGGTATATCACTGCAGAAGTAGTTAGCTCAAGAATTATGACGCGGATGACAAAGATTGGTAGCTTTTGCTATAATTATAAAAAAAAACCAAGTACATAAAATCATTCACAGTTTTTTTTCACAGTCTATTGAATAGCCTGCAGTTAAGTTCACTCTAATGAAGAATATAGACGTGGCCAGAGTTCCAAACGATTTAAGCAACAACTGTTTACATGAACTATCCTATATGTAAGTTTTTTTTATAGTGTGCAATGTACTTATTGAATTTTCATTAGTAATATATCATGGCTATATCGTTTATGTAAAAGTATCAAAAGATAGTAAAACGAAAACGAAACAATCAACCAAGACCAGTGACCGAAACAAGTGTCGAGCTGGCGGCGCCGCGCCTACCTCGGGATTCCCCGAGGGCAATAATTCATCTTTGAAGTAACACCGGTAACACTGACTCACTGGCCGACACGGATACCCGCCTACCACCCCCTTTGTGTCGTCACCCTATGACCACCGGTCGGTCGGCCACCCATCCAAGGAAACTCTAGACATCGGCGGCTCTTTGTCGTTCGTTGACCAGCGTATTTTCTAGAGTTGAATGTATACCCTCACTCACACCAGGGAATAAGTAAACTGTAGTAGTTTTCTTGTTTATGAAAATATTTGCATTAAATTAGAAAAAAATCATTTATTTATTTATAAAATGTTATTATTTTACAAAAAAACACACACTTTTACCCTCCCTGTTGCAGCAAACCTAAGTACTTGTTAAACTTATTCTATTTAAATATGGAATAACTGTGATATTTTCAAAAAGTCATTTTAGTGTAAATCCAATCAGGCAAATAGAAATTTGCTTAGTCTGCAGGTTTGTTGCGGTGGGGGTATATTTCGTCATAAACTCTTTTGCCACTTAAGAATCTTCAATAGTAAAGTGGCAACTAAAACGCGACTCCAGCGACCCAATTCTGGCGGCGCTCTAGAACTACCCGAAGGCCTTTTCCGGTATTACGCGTGCCGCATCACACAAGTTAGTAGTTTTCCCACGCCCCTATTCAAACGCTTGTAGGCGAAGAAAAAGAAAGCGAGTTGACGACCGAGGCTAGGTCGACCCGATCGACTTCGACAGCTGTTTTACTGTCTCTCTCCCTCTCTCTCTCTCTGTCTTTGGATGTGTAGGGTTGGCGAGGGTTGTAAAATTGCTGAAAGTGAAAGGGACGTGGCTGGCGCTACGTTCCTAGTTTTTGGCCTCTTGATGCTAACACTGGGTCGGCTACTCGAGATCAAACAACAGCGTGTGTTTAGTACAAAATTGGGTCCACAGTCACATCTATCTATACTTATTTAATACGCAAGCAGGATTTTTGTGACAATTATTCCTCCGAAACTACTGAACCGATTGACATGTTTTTGGTGTCATTGGAAAGAGCGTAACGTGAAGTTGTGCAGGAAACTTTCTTTTTAGGTAAATAATTAGAGAGTGAGGCCCTGGGACCCTTTAAAGTTTCGTATTTCTCCATAACATTAACACGGGAAACAAACATTGTTTTGAAACTCCAGCTGTTGTCAGGAATTAAATATTAATAATTAGTTGCTCCCCATGGAAGCATGAGAGTTCTGTAGAGTTTGTAGCCTACACCTTATTGTCTACAAATTGGTTAAATAACTTAGGTACAGTACATTATAAAAGCTGACAGACTTTTTATTTTGACTTAAATTGTAAGCTTACCATTTCCCGTCCATGGGCAGTTTGATAGTTAAAAAATAACCCTTTAAACTGGAATAGGACTGTTATGTAAATTGTGATTATTTCCATTAGTTAATAATCTTTTAGTTGACTCTTTTAAACTCATCGGAAATTATGACTGTTATTAGTTTTTTAACAAGTCATTTGTTTATATGTAACTCCTGTACTTCTTTGCAATTGCTCGATTTCGAGCAACATGTACACTAGTTAAGCTATAATTTTATACAATAGCTAAGATATTCCACATCGTGTCGTAACACTTCGGCCCAAGTAACACTTCGGCCCAGTAACATTTCGGCCCGAAACCCTCAGATGTGGCCTACGGTCCAACTCTCTACCTGCCCACTAGTAACACTTCGTCCCAACAAAATATTTGACAGGTTAGGTTAGGTTAGGTTAGGTTAGGTAAGATTCCACCGATTCTCCGTCATGTGAGGTCAGAGGATGCAAGGGGTGACGGTTGGGCGACATTCCACCAGAGGGTGGTTGCAAAGTATACAGGTCATGTACCTCTTACTACCTGAACTGCGTTCCTCAACCCTTGTCAATTTTTCGCCGGGCCGAAATGTTACTCCATTAGCTTATTTAATCATCTGTAAAAGCGAATGGGACGAAGTGATACTGTTTTTCTAAGAAATTTGAGTTTGGCCGAAATGTTACTGGGCCGAAGTGTTACTACATCTTCCACATTCCAACCAAATATCTGGCCGAAAGTAGTTTTTGATTGCATTTTAATTGAATAATTTGTAACGAATCGAATTAAACCACGAATCGGACATACCATGATCCGTATGTCAAAATGTAAAACATAGGTGAGGAATCCGATTATGGTATTTTTAAACTTTCGAAAATGTATGGTTTAGGCTGTAGAGATAAAATTACGGTGAAAATCAAATATATAATTTAAACGATTTTTGTGTTGAAATTCTAAAATAAAATTCTTAACTCCTACCCCAAAATATACCGATTCATAATGTGTATTACAACTATGATTGATGAT